AATCGAGTCAATTATCAGTATAAGGTGAGGAAAGAGAGGACGGTGTATACGAACAGCGAACATGATGTTTAAGAACGGTGGTTAGGCTGTTTGGAACTTTGAGCTTTGAGATTTGGTGGGTTGCTGAGGGCTTTCCTACAGATTGAGCCGTCTTTTATAGGATTTCTGGGGCTTTATTGACAAATGTTATACCTGATCATCCAAAAAATCGCTCTTGGGATTTACTGGATCCAAGAATTAGCGCAGGCTGTTGTTCTACGCCACGCGCCGAGCGCTCACTACGGATCTTCCATGCGGATGCAAGCTTCAACCACCCTGTTATAATCTTCCGACCATATAAGCATTTCTTGTCAGTGAGGGGAATTGGACGAAAATTTCTTTGAACTTCAGGACGTATATCTGAAAGTTAAGTACATGCCGCACTCACTCTGAAGTCTGATGAAGAGAGTTCAGTGCTAGACTTACAAGAACTTGAATATTCCGTCTGTGATCACAATGGTGTGCTGGCACTAGGGAAGTGGCGCCTCCTCTATCATCCACGCCTTTTTCAGACTCACGAGGCCAAGTGAACGCCGCACGAAATCCCGTTGTTCTGGGTATAATGTAGAATAAGTACTTTTGTGCGTGGGACTGGGCGGGAGGACCGATCTATATCTGTATCCGGACCGCGCCTCAAGATTCCTATTTCAGATTTTCCTTCTAACCACCTTTCTAGCTAGCTGTAAATCCGACTATATGAGACACACGGGTACGTGCAGTCCCAATTAAGTGATTTTTTGTAAAACATAACGCCAGCACATAGTAAAATAATTAATGAAGCACTGATGCTCGTTGAATAGCCTACTACCCGCCATGGCTACGCCCTTGCCTCACTTGTGACCAAATACTGCGCCTCATGCTGAATAGGGTCAATTTGCATAGCTTCCTAGGCTCTAGGATGATCCAGAGTTGAATCAGGTGGTACACTGGACCTGCGACTGCAGCGAGAGTACCACCGCCGTTTGGCGAGACCAGGCAGGCCATTTATGATCTGATCTCTATTATTACTGCCTGAAAAACGCCTGCTTTCACTCGCCACTCGCGTGTTCAAAGGAAATTTGAATGACCCGCCCGACGCCACCATCGATACCGGCGATGATGGGATCCGTCACTTATTGCAATCTGATCAAGGATTGCAAGCGCTTTATGTCGTGAAACAAGTTCCCTGGGCATCGGTATCCAACACGCCGCCCAGGATGCGAAGGTGATGTACACGACTTGTCAGGCCCATTCCCGTATTTCCTTTCATTGCTGTAGCCGGTTCTCAGTAATAACTATGTTGTAGAATTTTCTTTTAAGACCACTAGATAGAGAAAGGCAGGTTGGAAAAATCATGCTGATAGTCCTATCACAGCCAATGTCAGTGAAAGAGATTGCTTGGATGCTGGAAGAAAGAATACTTCATTGTGCAAGATAGAATCCATCATTATTCTCATTGACTAAGACTCAGAAGGACCACCTGCATCCACCAATATTGAAAACATCTACATCTATTAGAGTATGAGTTTATATAAGTAGTGATAACAGATTAGATACATCTAGAAGGCAGTCTCCATTGAGATTAATGACTGCATTACTGTTAGGAGAAACAAGGGTACACTGTGTGCTATGAAATTCTGAGCTCAAGACAGCCTACACAGGTGAAATGCACATGTCATATGAATGGAGATTTTGCTGGTGAGGCATTCCATATGTTCTGCAGCAGCTTTAACAGCTTTTCAGAGGTTGATTTTCATGTCACCATCTGCCAGTATTAGCTAAGGAGCCTTGGAGAGAGCCATGCAAATTGTGTTGGCAACATCTGATAAGAAATCAAAGATAACTGTAACAAATATCCACCATCAGTCAATGCAAGGTAAAGCAACATGGCAATGATGCTGCCAGTTGCCAGTTCTGCTGCAGCCCATGATCAACAAATCCAACCTTCCTGAATGCACAAAGTCACAAGAGACAATGTAGTCCATCACTACTGGATGCCTAGTCAAATAATGCTGAGTTCTTGGACTTGAGATCCAGTGTGAAAGCATCTTGTCATGTTTCAGCATATCCTGGATATGAATTTGATGCTCATTATAATATACAACTTGTCAAGTATCAGGACATCTAGGCTGTACTCAACAAAACAGTCATATACAGTTAGTCCTATTAAAGTCTCTAAAACTGGACCTTTTACTGTATCTCTCATCACAGGTACCAAGGAGTTTCCATTAAATCACTTCAGTGAGAAGCCATATACTGAACACTGGGATGATAAGGGATATAAATGAAGTCCATAGGCCCACAATGGACTATTGGCAGATGTGCAGTCAAAATAAGGGTCAAGAAAAGGAAAGCTACAACTCTAATATCATGTCTCTGATAGTATATCGGTTAGTACACGCGCCTGTCATGATTTCCTGGCTTAGTTCTCGCGTGAAAGCTGGGTTCGACTCCCAGTCAGAGAGAGGATGTTTGTTTTTTATTAGAAATCTGTCCCGGACGTTGCAATGGGTTTACTTGACGAAAATCCATCCGAGGGGAAGAAACTAACCGGTCCGAAAACCCAGGATCCTTCATACGTTGAACCTAACATAGTATCAAACCTTTATGGATAATTTACTGATACTGGCTCAAAGGAAAGCGCTCACATGGCTCAACACAGTTGCATGACAATTGGCCTTCAAAACAGGTTCAATGTTCAAAGTACGATAACAAACAGGATGAAAAAATGTTCTTGAGATGATTGGAAATAAATGAGTGGTACAGCGGGTTAGGGTATGGCATACACAGAAAGCGGCGACAACAAAACTACATACAGGAAGAAAAGTATGCCATCATCTGTAAGCAAAACTGGAGACCATACGCGACGACTTGCTGTAGAGGACGCCGCTGGTCCTCAGGCTAACGCTCAATGACTACTTTATAAACTGACTCCCCTACATCAGCAGGACGAGCAAGCAATTCGGTCGCAATTCGGTCGATACAGGTATCATTGGGTTTAATGGTAAAATGCTGGAGCATATCATCTGGCATGTCTCTAGTCTCAACGTAGGGACAATCAGCGAGGAGATCTCGTGCGATGGCTAGTCAGTCGGCGTTGTCGGCACAAGAGGCAAGGCGTTCTTGCAATGCGGGTGAACAATCCACTGCAGACTTCGGAGGGTAAGAAAGCGAAATGCTAGCAAATGCTTGGGCCACGGTCTAGGATATGTCGAAGACGGATACGGTCCATGTATTCGGTGTCCTTATAAAGGGATAAGGGATTGGTCATGATGAGGTGAAATACACTTACGTCGGACAACCAGCCATGGATGACCTCGTATCTACGCTCAAGTTCTGTAATCTGCCCTTGCAGATCCGTGACCTGTCGCTGTAAATCGACATTCTCGCCCTTCAGTTCTGCGATAACCCGGTTCCTATCCTCGACGTGCTGCTTGAGACTGTCCATCTTTGAGTAAATTTCCATGACCAGGGCTGGAAAGTCGGGGGAAGCGTTTGCATTGTTGTGGTTAGCATGTAATTGGTACTGGGGAGGCGTATCCCTGAAAGCAGGTACGAAGACAGTTCCCCCTGGCGGTGGGATCTGAGCGTACTGTCTTGGCCTTTGCAGTGTCATTGGTTTCAGAGTAAGGAATGTGCATTATAGTATTCTCTGTGTAGATTTTAAAAGTCCAATATAGCACAAAACAATTGAAGAGGTACGTACTAACCTGAAACAAAAGATCCTAGGACCACTAAACTGTTCTCGATTCTCCTCTGCAGCATCTAGCCCGACCCGACATAGTCAGAAGCAACCTTGGTTTGTTTCATAGTGCGACTTTCTTTCACGCAGCCAGTCCTGAAGGTATGAACGGTGTGGAAGATTGAAGAGGTAGATGGACTAGCGGACCGGGTCATGGGAATAACAGATCTGGACTTTGTCCGGCAAACTCCGCGTCATGTTTTCCTTCCTTCGCGCATCACGACGGTGTCCAAACCTCGTCTTCAAGCGTACGCTCGCCAACATCCTCTCAGAAAACACCTCTCTCCAGGTCTACGACCCCAATGCCGCCGCTGCTGCCACCCCCAAGCCATCTACCGAACCCCCGCCGTCGCCCTCCACATCCCAAAAAGTAGAAACGTCCAAAACACACGGCCTGTACGCCTTTTTCCGCCGGAAGCAGGGCGCGGACCTCGTTGGGGAGGACCAGTATGACGTTCTCGGTGGATCCTACGAGCAGGACGTCGTGAACAGGAGCGGTGCGCCTTCCTTATATATATATAACCGAACTTGTTGCTCCAAGATGCTTAACAAATCTGGCAGGACGCGCCTGGAAAGCCTCAGAGCTTCGCCTGAAGAGCTTCACCGATCTGCACACGCTGTGGTACATCCTTCTCCGTGAGCAGAACCTCCTTGCTACTCAGACGGAAGAGGTCCGGCGCGCAGGTATCGCTCCTCGCATGGTTCAGATAGGGTTGGGGCCCAAGAAGCGAGAGGTTGTGCACATCTTTTTTTTTTTCCTACTCACTAGCCCAACTAAATTCTGTGTACAGTGTCGCCTGAGCATGGCTCGCATAAAGGTAGTGATGAACGAGCGTCGACTGGCTTACCTCGGTGCTGTCCGGCTCGCTGAAGAGGAGAAGGAGGCCGAGCTCGACAGGGCCGTGTTGAAGCACCAAGTCACCCAGTTCAATCGTGGTCGCAAGGTCCTCCGGAAACTCCAGGCAAAGCGCGTCGCCGCTGAAAGGAGAAAAGAACGTCTCGCCAGGCAAAGAGAGGCAAAGACAACTGCGTAGATATTTTTGCAAATAGACGCGATGAAAATACGAAACTCATGCCGAGGTGCCTACTGAGCGGAGATGGGACGTTGTTGTCATGTTATAACACCAGCGTCATTACCGACGTTACCGACATGAAGGTCACATAGGCTCACTTGTCGAAAGAGTTATCAAGGACTACAGAGCTTCAAGCGAGTTTCACCTGTCAAGTGTTTACGATAGCTATAGCGACAGTGAATGACCTTCGAAGCTAGTTCAGCAACATATCACTAAGCTCCTTACATTGCTTTCATATATAATGTTGATGTGAAAAAATAAAAGTAACATGCAGACCAACTACCAACCGTAATCGTAATGATGTAGATTCGGTCTTGGGCTGATACCCATTTACTCCTCATCCTCTACGTTACCGTTACCGGGAGTCAAACACCGGCGAAGCATCAAGGGGATACATGTCTTTCTCCAGGATAACATTCGGTTGGTTAGATAAATGGACGCCCAGTCGAATCTACTCACGTCGGGCAGTCATATACCGAATCCACTCTCAAGCTTCTTGATTCGCTCCGATTGGGAGGAGTATGTCACGAGAAGGAGGTGCGAAGGAACACGCCGGCCCCGACCCGACATTCCGTTCAGAATGTATGTCCAGGACACCACGACGACGACGGTTGATCAACTTTTGTTCCTGTATGACGAGGTGGAAATTCAAGGCGAGAGGCAGTGACTGAAATACCCGGCGTACACTAACGGAGGGTATGACACGGCTCCGTGAACCAGCAAGTGCGCTAGAAGCGAAAAAGCATTTTATCGGGTGAACAGAGAGGGATGCTTATATGACGTAGAAGAAATGGAAGCGAACCCCACTCAACAGCAAAGGATGGAAGGTAAGGTTGCCTTTCCAGTGCTGATTCTCGCATTCGGGAACGACTTGAAGAGCCGGCGCGTCCAGTCCTTCGACCGAAGACGACGAACCTGCTCCGGGGATTTTGGTTCATGGATCGCCGGCCGCCTCGATCCTCGTCTTTTTTCTAAGAGGGCGATCCCTGCTCAACATGGTATTTTTGCTGCGTGGGAGATAGAACGGTGGTGATGGAAGGAGTGGAGGATATCTTGGAATTACTGGGGTTCGTTCGAGGTTTGGTCGACCTGGATCATTATCCTCCCGGAAGGACCAGCCAACGCACGTCCTTACCCAGTTTTTATCGGCGTAAATATAAGGGCGTGTCGCGTAGGGAGATTTAGAGCGCATCAGCCTGTGCAACGGTTCGTGCCCAGAATCAGAGTCAAGTGGTGTCGTAAGACATGTACATCTGGAAACTGGATTTGATTCGGCATCGTCTCAGAAGTATCGGAAAGTTACGGTCCATGTATTGGGAAAATGACTGGGAAATGGATTGGGTCATAGAGTTGGCTAGGGTAAAAGAATTACTCACGGCATTGGAGGTTCTCCTCATTGACGCGTATCCTCTGCGCAGTCCTGCGATTTCTCCACCAGAGCCCTGTTCTCCCGCTTCAGATCCTCGTTCTCCCGCTTCAGAGCAGCATTAGCTTCCTCCAGCGCCTGCACCCTCTCCGTCAAAGCTGCATTATCACTCTGCAGATTCGCAATAGTCGTTTCGTTCCCCGCCTTCATCATCTTTCCAAGCATGTCGTGGATATTATCACTGCCTGCGGCAGCTTCTCGCCTCACTTGGACGGGCCCCGCAGGAACAAAAACGAATCCGCTTGCAGTAGCATCCGAGCAGACCGTCTGGATCCTCAGAGAGTCGTCTGGTTCGTACGGAGCCAGGGCAATTGCGCCGTTTTCTATAGAGTATTGAAACGAATGACACTCGTTATTTTGAGATTACGTACCGGAAACGAACACCCTTGCCTCGCAGAAATCGGTGATGTTACGGTCCTCGACATCTTGCTTGACATAGTCGGCGGCTGCGGTCTTGAGCTGTCTCACGGTCGTCTTCCCACTGACATATCCCTTCCTGGACGAATGCACCGTATGGAAGATGAATGGCTTGGAGGAGGGAGAAGGATTCCTGGATACAGTCGACATACGAGGTGGCGTCGCTGAAGCAAGCTCGCGGTGGGGGGGGGGTTGAAATTCACGGCGTCCAGGTTCATCACATGACTTCCCCCTTCATACCTCTCGATGTGAAAAGGTGAAAGGATAAAACTTTGACATTGGCGAGCGTAAGCTTGATTGAAGACGAGGTTGTGACATCACCGAGTCGGATGGCTTGCCCTTGATGCGCTGCTTACTAGAGATGTATTGGATACTCAAATTTCCTAATGTACCTCTAGTGTACAAGTCTCCTTAATTTGGTTTGCATGCCACTGTCAGTTCACTAGGCGAATGAGATGTGGAAGATACATTTATCGCAAACATCGTTTCCACCATCTTCAATTGCACCTCTCTCAAATCTCCCCCCTTGAACTGCTGCACTTCATGGCGTCCGTTTCCTGCCCCCGACCTTCAATTTTTCTCTTCATGGCGTGCTCCAGACCATCGATAAGTAGCTGCAAGTCTTCATCTCCTTGCTTATTTCTTCGTTCCAGACTTTCGATATCCCGCTTGAGCCCTTCAGTTTCCTCCTTCAAACGTGTGACATCCAGCCTCAATATCTCGGTCTCTCGTGACACCATCTCGAGTTCCTCCTTGAAAATCACCGTATCACGCTTCACCTTGTCGATGAATCGTGCTAGTTCTGCAATCCCGGGTTTGTTTCCGTTAGAGAGAGCTTCTTGTTGATAGAGGCGGGGCTTGCGGATTGGGATGAGAACAAAACCCATTATGCGGTCGTCTGAAAGAGAGAGAGAGAAAGGGGATGTATTTAAGCGACTTCACTCTGTCTAAGACGCTGATCGAGGTGGTGTCATATCAGTGATTCATGCAAGAAAGCCTTTGAACAAACGGCCGCTCTGTGCGCCCGTTCATCCACAATGTCGCAAATCAAATTGACACCAGTAGTAAAAACTCCTCCTGACTCTGTAATATAGTGCTTCCATCAAAATAAAGGCATCTCTAAAAGCCTTCAGATTGACCTTTATACCTTCAATTATCCATTCTACAATTTCCTGCTTTCTATCTTCATGTTCCCCCCCGGATATGTTCCCTTTCCCGCCAATTATCTTCAAATTCTCTCTTCAGACCTTCGATTTCCTTCCGATAGATTTCCAGTACCAGGGTTGCGTCCCGTTCGCTTTACAAAATCCCGTTCCATCTCTGCGAGACGCTCCGCAACCATCTGCTCTGGGTCGCTCCCGGTATTGTTAGCTTGTTGCTGATCTGCGGATTGGGTAGCGAACGAAAGAAAGGAACATGGAAGGAGCAGTGTCGTATCTCCAGTCTGTCTAAGACGGCGATCGGTATAAGAACATTGATTAGTCGAGATAGTCTACATTGGCATATTGTCCTTGAAATATCAATAAATGAGAATTAGAAAAATACAGTTAAATGTTAACTATAACACTGTATGATAAGGTACCCGGGGTGAATTAGACAAATTGAATAGAAGAAAGTTCAAGTTTTCGGATGAAACGGCGCTTTTCATAGGTCACTCTCTGGCATGCTCTTGTATTGAGGGCACAGATTATCCCATTGTTCTACAGCGCCACGGATCAGGAACTCGTAGAAGCGTCACACAGAAACCTGGGTACATACCGGTAGGATCGATAGTGTTTGTCCAAGAATCCGTGTCTTCTGCGAAAACTACGGCGAGACCCCTGTCTAGGGCGTCAGCGAAAATGTTAACAGCCACATGGAAACGACAACTCACGCCTCCAAATGCCAATCAATGTGACTGGTCGCCAAATCAGTACGTTTATTACCTACAAGAAGACACAAACCAGACTGACCAGTGAAGGAACCACGGTCCTGGGTTATCCGTTCTGAACCGGATAGTCACATTGTCTCCCTTTGTTCCAATGTTAACAACGTCCCGCCTCACCGGGTTGTCGTAGTTGTACACGGAGCTCCCAGCACTTCGGACGACGTCGAAAGTGTGCTGGAAGAAGCACGTTAGCATTCCATCGCATCCGGGCCACACGATGACAACTCACCCCGTGTAGATGAAACGGATGCTACAGGCGCAAATGGATGAGAACGGGTAAGTGCAGTAAATATCAGAACGCTTACGCCTCCGCCAACAACCCCACCAGGCATTGACACCTCGATGGTCGAGTTGGATGGAAGAGGGAATACCGACCCAGTAGGAAGAAGATCGCCTGCGCTCTTTGCTCCGCTGAGGACCTGTAACAGGACAGGCGTGCTGGGAGCCGTAAACTGGGCGCCGTTGACAGTATATGTGCGGTTACTGGTCTGTAGAGGTAATCTATAACCGCCTCTGTATTTCTTCACCCAGGATCGAACATACAAAAGCAAATGCCAAATTGAGCGCATAGTCGACACCTCCAATTTCGGGTGTTCCAGGCTAAAACATTCCATGGGATTCAGCCATCGTGAAAAAAAAAAAGCAAACTGATGTAACCTACAGCTCCAGGGTTTTCAAAAGGCTAGGGGGGAAGAAGGTATGATAGGTTATGCCGGACTGATGTAGGCCAAGAAGTAACTTACCACCAACTCGGTCTCGTTCATTTTCAGTACGCTTGATATCGTTGTTGTAGCTGGCTCCCCCTCTGCCGCACCAGAGTACCGGAGAATAGCGGAGTTGATGCCTTGGGTGTAACCGAAGGTCCCGACACTAGGAAGCGCGCGAATCCCTGAGCGTGGCACAGTGAGTATTTTGAGGGTCAGCCAAGAAACACAGCGAATTACAGTAGTTATCTACTTCTTGGTTGGCGTTGAGCTGAATGAATGTTAGGCTTGAAGACCCCGAAAGTAAGGATAATCCAGAGAGCTTACGACAAAGGAGTATCGCTGGCCTTGAAGGAAAACATCAGTATTGACAGTCAATCTAGGGAATCGATACCTTGACCTACCAGCAAAGATCTGGATTTGATCGACAGTATAAGGTTGGTGATTGACACCATCGACTTCGATGATCGTCCTGATTGATAAACTCAATACAGTTACCGACGAACGAGAGGAAAAAGTCCGAACATAAGATGTCCTTCGATTGCAAAGGTGAAAGACGACTCGCAAGCCATGTCGATCATACGGAAGCGGTACCTAAAAGGCCTCATAAGTGAATAAATACGCCGAATTTTTGGAATACTGACCGTTTCCCTTGCTCAACAGTGATAACAGCCAAATCGGATGTGGGATCTTTGCTCCATCTGCATTACCTGTAAGCAATATACACTTGGGCAAGCAAGTGAGATGAATCACCGTCCTAATCCGTTGATCAACGTCGAGTCTGGTGTCCTGGAAATCCATTTGAGGAAGTTATCACTTAAATCTTGACAAAAAGCGCATACGGGAAGCTGATTTCCTTGGCTGGGGTGTGATACCAGTCTGAGAGCGTTAAGATGGTAGACTCTGTGAAAGCATCTCAGCGTTGATCGGAAGGAGCTACGCGTGTGGCTGACCATCATCGACATCGTACAAATCCGCATGTGGGTCGTTGGGGTCATAGATAATGAAGGGCCCTCGAAGTCCGTCGCAGTACTGTGTCGCTGGGGAGAGTAGCAGTTATGTTAGCATTCCTGTCGTATAAAAAAAAAGTAAGAACCCTCACATAAATGAGAGTGGTACCAGAATGTCCCCGCCTGGTCGGCGGAATCAAACGTATAGAGGAATGAATCTCCCTTTGCTATGGGACACTGGGCGTATTACTATAAGTAAAAATAGCAGGAGGTATCGAGAAATTTAGAATTACTTGGTTCACGAAAGCCGGCCCATCAGCCCAATTACTGCCTTTTTGAAGTAGACCATGCCAATGCTATGAATAAGATTAAAGACTGAGATATATGAAAGAGGAGGAACACATACAATGGAGGTGCTCTGCAATATGCTATTGTTTGAAAGATTATTCACGACATTGAGCTGAAAGATGTCGCCCTTTTAATGTTAGCCAGTAAGTACAAGCAATGGAGATGGATGCCAACAGAAAGGCTTGCCTTGTTTCCACTGATGAGCGTACCATCTAAAACTCCGTTCGGCAGTGCAGCGACCCGCGAGTAGCCGTCAGGAGAAATCTCAGAGTTAGCAATGACAAGGTCTCCGGTAGGCCCTATCTTTGCATAAGCAGGAGCAGTCGCGAAAAGGAGGGCGAAGCCCAAGAGAGCAGAGAAACGGGGCGCCATTCGAAGACGAAGATGAGGATTATTGAAGCACGTCGGTGCAGTACCCTTTATACCCGTGCAAAGAAGCATGCCGGAACTTCGACCGGAGGACCCCGCACCCTTTTACACAGGTGCGATTAGAATGCTCGGTCCTCTACATGTGCGATGATGAGAGGCCGGCACTACCTTGAGGGACCAGACCAGAGTTAACGAGTCGGGGAAAAGGTGCCTTGTTGAATGGTCGGGGTCGATTTCTTCGCCCGTATCAGCAGATCTTCCCTCATGCCAGAAATACAAGGCATATCATCGTAGAGCCACTACACAACCCGGTTGAACGCGTGATACCCGTCCCGACCGACCCCTCATTCCGACGATCAGGGATAAAAAGCTGTGCCAGTAAGAATGGAAGACGGAGAAGGGTGCTGCACTCGACCCACGTCGCTACACAGAGCGGCATTTGGATCCGTTCCTTGAGAAGGTGATGATTCTAGGCAAGGGGGTATCGCTTAGAGATGATATTATTAGAACAGTGAAAATTGGCATACTTCGACAACTGTAAGTCATACTGAAATCCAGTTTTATGGGACCTCACAAGAAAGAAGCACTAGGACTATCAAAAAGAACATTCAATATTTCGAAACGAAGAGCAGCAGAGAAGCAACAGTAGACGCTTTGACTGAAAACGATACCCATCGATCGGATGATTACACCGTCGGGACCTAGGAATCAGTCCTCTAGGACCATTTGGATTGTACTATGATCTTCTCTCGGAGAAGATTTTGGGCAGCTTTGTAGACACCGGAAAGCCCACAGCGGTCACTGATAACCGCAGCAACTGACGAACGGAAAGTCAATGTCCTGAAAAGATCCACATCATTGGAACCATATTGAATGAAAAGCGATTCTGCTAAACGAGACGTTTAATAGATTTCAACAGCAAGTGAGGTTAACTGAACCTCGCTGTCACCCTTACTTTCAACGCTTTGAAACGTGATAAGATCAGACCGGGGGGCTTACACCTTTTCGCCGAAACGTCAACGAGTTCAAGACTGGACACTCCGCAAACCAAGGCAAATGACTACCTCGGTGCGTAGGATGGCGTTGGAGATAGGAGCATCACAAGGAGGGCGTTAAAGCGGGTGATAAACCCAGTATGGGATGCTGAAGAGTTGACTTTTTGATGAAACATACAACAGGTATGCAAGACGAACTTGATCAAGACGGTGACAACTACATACCGATGCAAAGGAGGCTTGCTGCCCACATGGACATCACCAATGCAGTGAAAAGACCCATTCCCGCTCGAAAAGCATGTACGTTCTGCACTTCGACTGAATATTGTATCTTGGCAGAAGCAGAATAAAATAAATAGCACCTTGGCCAGTCAGAGTCCACTACATGCACTGAGACGTCGAGACGTCAGTACCATCTAGTTGGACTTCATTACTATCAGAGCTAGGTGCTGCAATATCAACGGGGCTATCGAAATGGCTCTTTGTTGCCGTTAATGCCCAAAGCCTAGGAAGCCCGAGTCTTACTTCATTCTGGACCAGCTAATCACATGAGCTCACAAAGGAGTATATTCAGTGACGTCCCGAATACAACATGCTACGCTACATCAACAATTAGTGCGTAGACAACGAACATTAAGCCGCGAAAGGCATACGACGTCTGCGTGAATAGATGCACAAGCATCTAGTTCGAAACGGACCTCGCTCCGTCCTTCATCCGTAGTATCCTAACCGGTATCCTCCTAGAAAGATATATGAGCATGAAGTCCAGCCAATTGAACACTAGACGAGGGGATCAGAAGGTCAAGAGTAATCAAAGTCACAATTGCGACTCAGCAACAGCTTCTAGTTGATTATTCATTTGATACATTTCATCGGGAGCATGGAAGACAACACATAGGACAGCCAAGATATACTCACTACAACATTTGCTTCGTATGAGCAGCATCTAATGCGGGGAGCGGAGTGTTCCTGCATAGAAAGCTAATCAGTATGGCGCCGTATATGAAAAGGTAGAAAGAATCAGTTGAGGTTGCCCGAAAAGAGTTGTGGCGGGCCATTTCGGCAGTAATGTTACGAAGACCGTCGTGATGGAACATCATAGGAAAAAAATAGCGCAGGAACACTCACCGTTCGGGTACACTGGGCGCATGCATACACTATGGCTAGACTAGAGGCCTGAGAGAAAAATCATTAGCAGAGAAGAAATGGAATGAAAGACCCGTGAAAGGAATCAGATGTTTTAAAAAAACAGCCTTGGATTTGTCGTCAAATCCGAGCTACGAAGCCCAGATCAGGCGGTAACTCCATAATTGCATCACACAAGATAACGGCGAATGATGATGATATTCACCTTTGAACAGTTGGGACATATGATGTACGTACCCCCATACATTGGCATCGGTAAAATATGTCTGGAAGACAACCAGTAAGTAAAGTCTCCATGGCGGCCACGACGATGATCAGAAAAGAAATGTGAAGTCATAGGGCTGTAGAGCGCTCATATACTCTAGTTTGAATGATTTTGGATCATCGTAGTGCGATGTGTAAAGATACGACGCTCACCTGCTCCCTGAACCTGGATGCTACGACGACAAGACTTCGATTACCATCCTTGCACCTGTCAGAAAGAAGGGTTAGAACCGCGTAATAAAGGTAGAAAAAAGGAATAACGGATCAGTGTAACTATGACAAAAAAGGTGCAACATTGCGCCCACCTATCCATGAACTGGAAGATGAAAAGACGCTCGACAGTGATTGGAAAATGTCATCTTGTCCGGCACAGATAGTGTAAAATTGCTCACCAATACACACGATTACAGCGACAGTATGAACAGACGGGGACACGGCGGAACTGGTGGCAGTCGCAGTAGAAAATTTTCTTTAAAAAAGGTTGCTTTAGGGCAGGCTCCACGTGATGACTGCGACACGCACAGATCGGCCCGAAAGCCGGCCGCATCGTTCGTCTGAACTCTCTTTCCCACCGAGCACTTCTCCAAATTGCTCCTGACCGTTCGATTTATCTTTCTCTCTGCCACACGATCTTGGAGGTTAATCTCTCACTGACCTACCCTATTTCTTTTCCTGGATGTCTAGAGTCCTTGTTTTGGATTTTACGAATTATACTACTCCGAGTCAGGTAGCTTCATAGCTTCATACCACGGAATGTGCTAATTCTGTAACAGTTACGGACCAGAATTCATATAAGACTACGACCAAGACAAATCCACACTGTGCCGGATGTCCCAGGTATATTTCTAACAGGGTCAGATTATCCGGCATCGTGATTTACTGACGCGATTTACTTGATAACTGAGGCCAGACCAATGGACTCTCAACTTGCGGAGAATGACTATTCCTTCGACCTTCCTACGCCTAAACTAAAAAAAAAACATCAAGATGATGCCAGATGCAATTAACTCATGTATCTATGTCGACGCCTATCTCAACGACTCTTCTTAAGGTCACATCCTGGACAGATGATCTTCACTTCATAGGGATATCCCTGGGGAGTTAGTCACCTACTTTATTATTACGACCACTGTCATTCCAGTGGTAATCAATGATCCTTTCTGCTTATGGCACTTCTATATTCCATAGACTCCCCATCTACAAGGTGCTGGACGCTCGCTGTTATCTGCTCTTGCTACTCCCATCTTGATTCAACCTTCCTTGACTCTTGCTTGGAATATTTAGATATGAGGGAACCACTGAATATCTCAGAGTATCCGGACCTACACGTTGACTTGATGAATCCGGCAGACACGATTCAATTTCCCGGTCAAGCGCGCCTTCTACGAAATTGCCAGGTGTTTGCAGTTGGTCGTTTTTTGCATCTAAAAAAATATTAAGCCCAGATTGAACAAATGTCACCTGGAGATCTTGCAGAGTTCTTCGTTGATAGTCTTCCACAGTGCCGTTCCGTTGTGACAATACTTCTTGATTTGACTGGGGCATATAGGATGGACGGGAAAGGGTTCTTGGCGATTTCACGTAACGACAAAGAAACGTGAGTTCGTATAGCACCACAAGTAAATCAGAGAGTGACGCTCCACACAGGCTGTTACAAGTACAAGCGCCCTCTGTCATTGACGCACTAACGGGGTTGCAGGAGATAGCTGTCTTTCTGCGATAGCAACGTAGACGAAGGAACGTAAAATGAACTCTGCTCTACAAGGAATTCTATGAGTAGTAAGTATTCAGCACCGATTCCCTTTCGCTTATTGATGTCGATATCCTATTCTCGGGTATCACCGGAGTTCCGAGTTCAGCAAAAGATCACCTTGTTAGTCCGCCCACATCGTCGTCTTAAGAAACGTGCACGTCTTTTTTTGACATTTCTCCCTTAATCTCTCCGCAAATAATTATCAATTCTAGCGACGCAGAATTCTTGATCACCCCCGGGGGTCATGCATATCCCAGGATGCCTAAAGAGGAGCATGAGGGGTCAGAAGTGACGATCAAGGCCGGACTGGCTTACAGTCTATTTCAATCGACGACACAAGACGCGACAGCTCGCAATGGCTTGCCTGTTTCAGGAACTGAGGCATTCGAACAAGGACAGACGACACGTTTAAGCAATGATATTGACTGGCGCATAAACTTGAACATTTCATTGGCGGAAGCAAACCACAACGCATCGCTTCCAGAAGGTACCAGTGCGTCTGTTTAACATATCTCGAATCTCCACTTATTCTCGATAAGCCCTGCCCATCTTGACGTCTCCGATAGCCAGGATGTTCGTGGAATGAAGGCAACTGATGAGGTTGGCCAAATGTCTTCTTCGACCTGCTCGAACCTTGACCGGGACCAGTTCAGTTCAATGCTTCAGAATAATTCCAACGACATCACCGCTGGCCGGAAATATATTGTTCTCCGCACCAATTGAGCTGTCTGATAATAATAATCCTCAGGGTAGGAAATCCGCTACTATTAGCGGGGATCAGCACAAACATTTTGGTTCGTACTAAAATAGAGCCATCACTACCCTTTCCTTCAATTGGTGACGACACCTACGGTTCCGATAGATACGAAGATTATCGTCTTGCCGCTTCTCCTGATAGCGGGGCTATGGAACATCCGCCAGTCATACCAAAATATGGATCTCGAGATCCCACCAACCAACCGTCGTGGCCATCTGACATGACGAGTAAATAAAGGGAAACATCCTTTAGGTATATAAACCAGATGGGCTAGCGTATCCAGCAGTTCTCAACGAATCTTTCCCCTTCCTTCGGCGACCGGCCTCTTGCCTCTTTATCCAGTCACGAGTCTTCATATGGTCATACATCGTCAGTGCAAGTCCTGCCTCCGATCCTTGCTAACAGGAAGATGCGTCCAAAGGGACCTTCGGATTTCCCGTCACCATCTCACCTACTAGCATCGACGCCGTCAATGCTACAGGTTCAGGCCTCAAATCCGCGCCTTGCGGGGTCTTGGTGGTTGTACTTGAATTGCACCTCGGCCTCCTTCTCCAGAATTTCTGTCCAGACATACATCTGAGTCCGACGCTGCCGAAATCGACGAATTGATACCACCAACAGTAGCTCATGCGAGCATTACCGGAATATTGAGTCGACTGAAAATATGCGAGGGCCTATTGGAACGATCGATAGTGACGAGATGCCACCAAAACCTTCCTCGAGGTCGCAAACTCTTCTTTCTATTCCTTGATGCCTATTAAATCATGATCAAATTTCTGAGCCTCCTTCTGAAGACGATGATTCGATTTCATGACACGAGGTTTTTCAGGTCGGCTGCCAGCGACATCTCATCGGATTTGGGAACCCGGATCGTCGTTACTGGACCATCGACAGAGGATTTCAGTCCCTCATTTCAAATCCACACTTCTCCTCCGCCAGATGTACATCTGGCTCCAGTCATGCCACCGATCGATGCATCAAGCTATTCAAGCGTCGAGAACAGTGACATCACGTCGCTTACTGTGGCAAACGCTTCATCTACTTCTCAAATCCAAGAACTTCCGGAGATACCAAGCGCGCCTCTATTCTCCGACGGCGAGCTTAGCTCAGGCTTACTGTTCCGAGATAATCCGCGGTCCTGTGAAAGAGTCTGCCTTTCCTTATCACGGATTGGAGACCGTTGACGGACCATTCCTCGGCCAATTACAATGCGTCGTTATCTTTCTTTGAACCACGTAAATCCCAATCAGGGAAGAAAGGGAAAGGACGAAAAGATACTAAATATCAGAACAAGATTGTGCAGACCTACACGCCACCAGCTGGTCCTTATATCGAAGATCCTCAGGTAGCCCAACTTTGTGGCAAAATGACGCGATTACACAGAAGGAAACGGTACGCCGAAGGTGGAGAATGAGAGTCTTAAGAAGCAGACCTTATGGTCCACGGACTCTAGGCTCTTTTCCGGCCACCGGTCAAGGAACCTTCCGTATAAACGACCTCAGGGAACAAGCAAGCTGTCATACGTATCTCTACCTTTCTCGATCTCCATTCCATGGTGCGCAGTCGAAGTCCTTTCACAGGCGGTTTGGTCCTCTTCTATAGTTGTCTTTTCTTGCTAAAAATAGGACATGGCATTCATTTCCTTCTCATCATGCGTATATTACAGAAGAAACAGCTTCCCACATATAGCCTATCAAAACGTTGACTACCCAGGCTTAAAAATAACATAGTGAACTCAAGATCATTACGATTTTAAGGGCCCATCACGACTGGTTTAGTCTTGGAAAGCTGCGCAATGGTAGCATCATCCAAATCCAGGTGAGCCTTGACGAGATCGGGTGGAGTAAGGGCGAGCCACTGAAAAAGCATGTCGAATTTTATTCCGAATGAGGGATACCTTTACCCACCTGATTCAAACTGACATCTTCAAACCGGTCTACGAGAAGACCGAATTAGCTGTCTTATCCTACGTAGTCACTGGGACTTACCTGTGTTAAAGATTTCCAGGTACGTCAAAGTAGTATTTCCCGTATTCTCAACATAGTGTCCTGTTTCCGTCGTTAATAATCAGTGCTTGCCATTGCATTTCCGTGGGCTTACCCATAGACGCAGGGACGTAACCTGATTGAATGTCGTCTCATTTTCTAATGGTTCCAAATCAATAGTGAGACATACCGATATCTCCGGGTTGATAATTGAATGTCCTTGCCGTGCTTTGAGATGCGAATATCGTCACTCTCCCTTCTCCCTCGCTAAAATTGATGTATATGTGAACGCATAATAAGAGGAAATCACATACATAAAGAAGCTCCACTCGTCCTGAGTCGGATGCCAATGCAACTCCCTGAGAATGTTTCAGGAGAGATTGAGCAGAGAGAAATGGCTCGGCTCACCGCATTGCGCCCGGTTCGACAGTAACCTCAGCCATGGCGATGGTAGTGGATACTTTGAAATTCGTGGAGTCCACAATCTTGACCGAACCACCCGACAGTTGTGTAGCGTTTACCTGAGACAAGGCAAAAGAAAATGGCTCGGGGACCGTCCCTTGAGGACTTTCGGGAGGAGTAGCATCATCAGGTGGTGGGGCTACGAGAGAAATAAGTTACAAATCCTTTTCGCCGGTTGAATCATCAGATGACTGTACCGCTTGGGAAGATGTAGAGTTGTTGAGCTGGGATATGCGCAAATGCCTGCGGGTCAACTTGGAAATTCTTTTGAATGACTGAGGACGGTCCCGTAAAATGTGCGTGTGAGTTATAGACGGAAGGACACACCTTCCGCCGGAACGTGTGCGAGCCAGTCGGTTAACTACGATAACGGGTCAGCGGATACGGAGCTTGATAATAAAAGCTTTGGTCACCAAAAAAGTAGAATCTTCACTGAAAGCTCCGTTATCAAAAACCTGCCTCACACGATGAGTAATAATCGAAGGAGTAGATTCGGGAAAATACCAGAATAAATTCAGAGCCTTCTTGGTCATCGGCAGTGGCTTGAAGAGAGTGAGGAATTCCGGGCGGGAAGTACCACAGGTCTCCGGGGCCCTATCAAAGTATGAAACATTACGTTCTTTGCCAGAAAGCAAGACAACGTACTACGGTAGCTAGGAAGTTCCGCCCTTGGGAATCAACCGCCGTAATTTGTGTGGAACCCTTTGAAAAGCTACTCAGAATAGCTCACGAAGGCATCTTGTTGAGACGTTTACTTTCAAGACATATGCCCACTGGAGACCCATATGAAGAAGGGATCAGACCGATATTTTGAAACGTACCTCTGAAGTACTGTGCCAATGAAGTTCCCTGAAATACGTATGAATTACCCGCCAATGTATATTTATGAGTGACTGACCGAATTGCGCCTGCTTCCAGTCGCATGTTGACGCTTGCCATTTCTATAAAACGTATCATATTGCGGTGCGATTAACGAGAAATGCTGTACTCACCGGTAGCAATGGGCAGTACACCAACTGCAAGCAATGAGTACGGGGGAAGTTCAAGAAGTTTTTTTAAAAAAGACTTCTCACTGTTCTCTTGACGGGCCCAGCCACCAGTTTGTAAACGGTTGTGGCTCAAAGAAAAGGGCCACTTGGCGTTCATCCTGATTTAAGAAGGAATGAGCTGGCACCAGATGTTTCAGAAAATTTTCACTAACACAGTTCCAGCATCGGTGGTCGGAGGTGCCAGAAGGTCAGGATTTTGTAGATCCATTGGAATATTGTCTGGACCAAGTATTGGTGCCCCAAGCTGACCACGTTCCGGAGAAACCACCGATGGATTGCTCTGATCGTCCCACAGCGCCTCGTTGGGATCTAAGCTGGCAAATGGAACAGTAGCAGTCGACGACGCCGCAGTATCGATGGAAGAGGCAGTACCAGATTCGGAGGCGGAAACAGTAGCAGAAGAAGGTGTGAGCCCGCTAGCTGCAGGTGCACCGGTGACGAGCCGGGCAAGAAGAAACATTCCCAGTAAGGAAGAGGTTTGGAACATAATGGCAGAGAAGGAATTCGACTCCTCGATGATCTTGAGAAGAAGATAGTTGATTTCTTTGAGAGGCTTTTATATTTTTGTCCCTAGGATTGACCGATGTTTTGCTGACCAGACAGATCGGGTAAGAGTGGGGCCTGCTTAGTGCGATTAGAAAGATGTGGCGACGAAAAAGGGTCTATTTACCTCACATGCAATCGCCTGGGGAATACACGCAATGCGGAGCAAGACCAAACTTCCTACCAAATCGAGGACACAAAAACGTGCGGTAAGAACCTTGAAGCGGGTAGATTATAATCTGGACTTGCGCAAAATAGCCTTGGGAGAGTCTTATGACATACCTCAGGAGGCTTTCATCGACATAGGGGAAAACCGAGAGAGTAAGGCCTTGAGGGAGAATGTATTCTTAGCACGCTTGACATGTCGCGACGGGTATAGGGAGACGGAGAGGTACAGGGTACAGGACGGCATAAAGATGTTCATTCTCCACGCACAGAAATAGCAGATGACGAGGGGCTTATTCTGAATAAAAATTAGAGACGATCAAAATATAAACATAAAACCCACGCTTTTTCCTAATGAGCAACGGTCCTTGATGCTGAGAATTACAGCAAAATAAAGGACATGGGGTTGAGCTGCGTAATTCTGGCGTGACGTCAGCAGTTTGACCTGGAAAAAAGATAGTAAATGTCCGTGTCTTTGGGCAGATAAGTGGGGCAGAATGAACCTAAAAACCTTGACGCGCAGAACCGAGGTGTGAATTGTTGACGGCATGTACGACAACCGGAGTGGTAAAGTTTGCCCATCACACGATAATGGATACGTAGAGAGGGGAATTTATTCTGATCGATGTCACTGAGGAAGGCGGGTCGAAGGATAAGGAGAGTTCATCAAGTGCAGTATATTCCAGGATGTTGGAGCAGACGGTTGACATGTGGGTTTGGTTATCACCCAATAATAGAATAATGGCACTCTATTTTCGTTCCCAAGACCCAAGCAGGTAAAATTAGAACAGGTACGGCCACGAGGGCACTCAAGGTGTCCTAAAATATAAGGAGTTAATGCGACGCCCAATGGGAAAAATAAAAAGTACCTAGGATGATGCGAATTGACGCCTACTGAAGCTGTAATTAACATGGAGAAAGACTGATGCCGTGACCTTTCTCCAGGATTCTTATGGCCTGCTCCACCTCTACAAAATGACTGAATCCTTTGTCGTGGTGTTCACCACCTTGAACGACCGGATACTTTGCCGCGCGAATAAAATTCTTATACGGCAGACCTTGTAAATGAAGATGCAAGTGATTAACAGAATTGAAGGGCGGTATATGAAACCCCATCCTGAAAGTCCGATATTAGATGAGTTGGTGCATAGCGGGGCTAAATAGGCTCTTACCTTCTCATGTCCTTCGGGATGTCGAGATTACTTAGAATATTCATGCCGATATCAGCCATATCCCGAACTAAGTAGATGGAGATGGTGTCAATGGAGAAAGTGAACTCAGCCGAACCAACACACACCAAGCTGGACATCATCTTTCGTCAAGTATTTTATACTTCCTTCAAGATACTGGGAACGATGATCGGTCGGATTTCAATATAAAAACATACGAATGTGGGTCTTCGGGATTAATTGAACGTGGTGTCTGCATGCGGGGTTCCGGTCGTAAAAGGCGATGAATTTATGATCCTAGTAAAGGCCGGTGTGTAATACCTTCGAAAAGCGGAATAAATGTCATATCCACCTCCCAAAGAATATTGAAGCCGGTCTCTTTCGAGACATTGCAGAATACACAAGATTTCACGTAGGCCTTGTCAGCCAAAGACTCTGAATCGATTGGGGTGTGATCTGCGCACCTACGCAGGGGAAAACAGAAGAGCCAGGACAGTTCGAACATAATCAAGACCTTCGCTTCGCTGTCGCTTGTAGAGAGCAAGATTCATTGTCGTCGCTCCACGACTGTCACGGAGTAGCGGCCCGTTAGTCACGTGTACACAAGGCAGCACACATGAGCAAATAGGATCCTCCTGAATTTCAACTACGACCATTCTGGCTCGAAGAGCTTTGGAATGCCTTTCCCTTGACAGCATTGTCGGTTTCTGACATTCCCATTCTTAGATATACCTGGCTGCTACATACCCCGTCGTCGTCGCGTCCTTGACGGCATAACTTTGCTCGATCTGCTTCCGTCCTTGGGGCACGTGAGTCTGCTTGAAATGGCCTCGGACTTGGAAGCGGCCCTGGAGGAAATAGAGGAGTGTTCTCATATTGCGGCAGCTCTCGCAGACGAGTCTATTATTTCGAGATATAAGAAATTTGTTTCTTGGAATGTCCACCAGTATCAAGTTGTCCGAAGCAATGCCAAACGCCGGAAGGTTGGTTCAAACTTATGAATCCAATGTGCGTTTGGACTGATCTTCGTATTGTAGGTCTCAGCACCTTCCTGCGGTATCTGCGAAACGTTACTTTCCCGGCCATTTGTCTGTCTACATTGTTCCTTTGCGGGTTGTTGGACACATATTCTAGATCATCTCACGGATGCAGAGCATTTATTTTGTGGGTTCATCGTTCCTTTGGTGGTCTCATGTCTAATCCACAATAGGTGTTGATCCGAATTCAGGATCTGTGTTCTGCTCGGACTCTGATTGTATGGACATGGTTTATAATGCCAATCTAGAGGCAATATATCTGGCAACAGTTATTTCTGCCGAAGAGAAGGAAACCAGATATCAAGGTTTGTCCCTCGTTTTTCGCGAACACTTGTAGAACTGACTGTTTTAGTATCCAAACGATCGCGAGAGCCTTTCGTTGCTTGGACTCCGGGTGCAGAGGAAACAACGGCGTCAGAAGGATCATTGCCTATATCTTGCCAAGGTAATACCACTGGGTTGTGATACTGAACATTTGACCAATGTGCTTCAGCTCGCCGCGGATTGTTGAACCTAGGACAGACATGTTTTCTCAACGTCGTTCTGCAATGCCTGGTGCATAATCCTCTTATTAGGAATTATTTCCTCGGAGACAAACACAACATCAAGCAATGCAAAATTGAAGACTGCAGTTGTTGTGAGATGGACAAGCTATTTACTGAGGTAAGAGCAAAACTCCTCGGCCAGGATCGCTTTGACAGCAGCTCTTGTTAGATCTATTCTGTCGATACTACCCCGTATGGGCCGAGCTCATTTTTGGCAACGACTTGGATGAAATCTCCGGATCTTGCCGGCTACGCTCAACACGATGCGCATGAGTTCTTCATATCCGTGCTAAACCATATTCATAGCAATTCTCGCGGATCCACCAATGTTTCTTGTAATTGCATCATCCACTCCACCTTTGCTGGCCAGCTTCAGAGCGACGTCAAGTGCGAGCGATGTAATAATGTCACGAGCACGTCCGACCCAATGCTCGACATTAGTTTAGAACTTAAAGATGAGACAACGCTGCATGGCTGTTTGAAGAGGTCAGTTATCGACGTGTCTCAAGCGCATATCCGTAACATCTTGACAGGTTTACACAATCCGAGAAACTTGGATCCAAAGAATATAACTGTGGAAAATGCAACAAGTCTTCTCGTGTTCGTCCTTTGTCAAAGTCACCTCGGTATCATTGCTAATTTTGTATCATGGGATCAGGAGGTCAGCAAGCGCATGAGTATCTCGAAGCTTCCCCCTGTGTTGAGCTTCCAGTTCAAGGTCGGCACTTATAGCTCTCGGCACCGTTAACTGATGTCTCCATATACAGCGCTTCGAGCACAAGTCCTTGGACAAACCCACGGCTCGGAAACTGGATACACCTGTCCGGTTCCCCGCTGCTATCAACATGGCATCGTTCACTTCTATTGCTTTGAAAGATAACGAAAAGGAAAACAATTTTGCGTAGGTGTCACATCTCCTTGTCGCATGATAGGGCTGATCGGCCCTAAGCTCTTTCGGTCCGGAAGTCATGTACGAATATGATCTTTTCGCTGTTATCAATCATGAAGGCCAGATTAGCAATGGTCATTACACGAACTTTGCGAGGTTTGGGAGTGAGGTACAGCTTCATAGTTCTTTCCGCGTGTGATGCCTTAGTAAACTTTTACATAGTGGTATCGATTTGATGATGATAAGTGAGTTCGGCTTCCTGTGCATTTCTTTCCATCTTTTCGTTGACTTTGACCTATTAGAGTGACGCATTCCTCGTTGAGTGCATGTCTGGACTCTCGGGCCTACATGTGTTTTTACGTTAAGCGACACCTCGACTATCAGCCTCATACGAGACCCACATATGTTCTCACAAGGGAGACGGAGGCCGTTAGGGAGAAGGAGCTGGAGCGAGAGAAAGAAGCTGCCAGATTAAAGGAAGTCGACCGGGAGATTGATGACGCCCTATTGGATGTAATATAATGTACGATACGATCTGCACAGTAATAGGATAAACGGTCCAGGGATGGTGATTTCGCATGGAGAATTTACGACGAAGGCGGGTCGCCGTATGGACAGCGCCAGAAGACGCCAATTATGTTGACGGAACGTTAAGGCGCTCCGTGTTCGGGCCCTGCTCTCCCCAGCAGTCCCAAAGGAATGGTCCTTCACCGTCCGAACTTGAAGTCTGCGCGAGGTGCGTATTATGTGATTCGATGATTGGTGCGGCTCTTGATTTCAGTTAGGCTCGGCTTCAATTTTGATATATTACCACCCGCCGGTGAAACTATGATTTCACCGCAACAATATATGCCAGAACATCGGGGAAAATATGACCGGGATCTAAATCCATCTGTTTCGGTATTTTTCGGGAAACTTCGAAGTCTCGTTAAAGCCGCTCCGAGCCGGTACAGAGGCGTCACGAGCGGCAATAGCGGCCCGACTCTGCCGCTCTAGACATGTTCATTAATTATATATATCACGTGCCTAGCCTCCTTGGCTCAGTTGGCTAGAGCGCGAGTCTCATATTCAATTATGAGGACCAATACGTTCGCAATCTCGAGGTCGTAAGTTCGAGCCTTACAGGGGGCATATTGTTTTACAATTTTTAATTGTTCTCCAGTTCACCCACTGCAGGTTAGGGTTGTGCATGAAACCTCCAAGGGAGGGTAAGTTACCATTTTGTACCGACCCCTTCCCATGGGGGTGTTTTGATACAGTAATTTACTGGTGCCATAACAGTTAAGTTACCTCAACAAAAATCCCTCTGGCAAGGGGAGGTACTGGTAATTAATCTAGGTGTATTGAGACCTAGATTTCATGCGCTACCCTAGTGCAGGGCCCAGGCACTGTAGATATTGCCATAAAACTTGACGAATTGAGGTTTTAAAGAGGAAACAAGGAGTAAGGTAATGAGATACGTACTCCTCAGTCCAACGACAATGGTGGTTCAAGACTGAGGAGGCAATACATTCAGTTCCATCTGTTGACGAGATGCAGGCATCGATGGTCCCCAATATAGCCTTCACCTCGACCCTAAGTATGATCCCCGAAACTCTTGAGTAGTGGAGATTTGTATTGTAAGTACATGAGTGAAGCCCTGGCATGTAAAGTAGTATAGTCAAAACTATTACCTGACATAAATGGGAAAAAGAAGAAAAAGAATATAACCTACGTACGAAAGACAAGGCAGAGAGCCACGAAACGAAATGGATGCGATGTATCTACGGAATGATATGATCCAAATCACCGTCTTGCACACGAATCTCTACGACCTCCACCTCGTAATCATTCAGCGCAGAGTTAGTGGACGATACAGATGTGGATATGAAACCAGCCGAATTTGGTGGTGACATCGAGGCGACATCTACGGCAAATGAACGGTCAATAATACAAGAGACGACAATAGAGAGATAGATAGACGAACATCGGTCTTTGATATACGGCGGCACGAACAAGTCCTATAAAGCCGAACAATAAGTAACACAGTCAAGAGAATTAAAGGCGATGATATGCTCACTTGGTTCCAGACAAAGCCTTGGCTTCTCTGTATGGTCAGGATTGGGCGGAGAGTATAGACATGTTCGCGGTCCCTCTTGCGATGTCGGCGCTTAGCGGGCTCAGGCTCAGGCTCAATAGCTTTCTGTTTTCCCTTGACATCTTTTTGTGACGCAGCAACCTTCATCGCAGCCGCCGCCTCCGTATTCTCTTCATCTATATCCATATCCATATCCAAGGAATCATCGGCCCGATTCTCACTCGTTGGTGCATCCAGGTGGTCGTGGTCATCCTCCCAGTCACTCAAGTGATCATGGTCATGGGAATAGTCTTCTTCATCCTCGGAGCAGGATTCTGATCCGCTGTCGCTGTATTCATCTTCGTCGTCGTATGGGATCTGCTCGTAGCAAGCCCAGGTGGGAGGCGACGCTGCCCGACCGATAGTGCGGCGACGGAAGTAGTCACGGTATGGCGAAGTAGTGGTACTCATCGTTTCTAATAGTGAGAAGTAGTGGATACGGCTGAAGAAAGAAGGCTGGTGGTGGTTCCTGCACAAGTAGGTCGTGGCCGCGGTCTCAAGGCCTTGGGGGGCCGGGATCTTCCGACGATGTGAATCATCTTTTTGTCACATCAGGTCACGCATGTCTTTTTTGGCTTGTCTCCGCCGTTTGCTATATTCCGGCTACCGTCGATATTTTCACAAAATGGCGGGATCCAAGTACCAGTATGTTAAGAATTTTGAATTACCTGACCCCCTTCTTCCGGGAACATTTATGGTGTACCGTTTAGATGGCCATAGTTTTCATCGGTACGACAATTTGTCTGGGTTGAGTTGATCTTAATCTTCGTCACAGATTCTCTGATGAACATGAATTCTCAAAGCCTAATGATTTGCGCGCATTGCGTCTTATGGACCACGCTGCACAAAAATTAATGGAAGAATACCCTGATATCGTCCTTGGTTTCGGTGAATCAGATGAATACAGGTAAAGTTCACTCCAAACTCACGTCGACTGTTACTAATCCCTGCACAGTTTTCTCCTCAGAAAATCGACTTCACTTTATAATCGCAGACAATCTAAAATTGTTTCTACTTTGACCTCTTATTTTACGTCTTGCTACGTATTATATTGGCCTACCTTCTTTCCGGACTCGCCTCTGCGCTACCCTCCGTCCTTTGACGGAAGGGTCGTACTGTATCCGGGTGAAAAGGAGATACGCGATTACTTTGCCTGGAGGCAAGCCGACAGTGAATCTGCAGCTAGCACCATCACGAACACACACTGACGCGTCAAAGCATAGCGCACATTAACAACCTGTATAATACCACATTTTGGGCGCTTGTTCAGCAGGGTGGAGAAACCACTACACAGGCTCACGCGACCTTACGGGTTCGTTTATGGACTCCTTGTGGATAAGTTGCGTCTAACCGCTCTTGGTCAGGGTACGATATCGAAAGAGAAGAATGAGATCCTGTTCTCCAGGTTTCAGATCAACTACAACGATATTGACCCGAGATACCGAAAGGGAAGTGTTGTAGTGAGAACAGAGGTTTGCGTTGCTCCATAATCAAAACCACTGTGTGCTTACTGAATACTTAGGTTCCTGAGGAAGAGGCACCAGACGAGACGGAGCAGCAGAAGAAGAAGGCGAAGAAGAAAGCGAAACCGCGCACGAGAATCGATGTTATTCATTGCGACATTATCAAGGACCAGTTTTGGAATGAAAGACGGATTCTAGAGGAGTAGAGGACTCAATAGAATCATGTTTAGTATGTTCCCAGATTGGTACGTGCTTACATTTCTGGATGAGAACGAGTCGTTTCAAGCAGAGGAAACTCCGTAGTGAGCGTTTTGAAACGGCCTGGTCGTGTCTTGTCTCTGGGGAAGGCCCAATTCTTTCATGTCTCATTCAGCAAACGCGCACCCCGCAGTGTCCAAGGTGAATGTCTTTGATGAGATAAATTCTCGGAGCGTCATATGGTGTTATGTACAGTGGTTAGAAGAATATATTTTACAGGTTGAAGCAATTTCGCCGTTCTTCCGGGTCGTTGAACCTGCGTGACAGACTCAGCCCTAAGTTGCGGAATATCAGCAAAATATGCATGGCAAGCAACGAATTTACGGAATTAGAGGCGCGCAACCAGTAGAGGAGAGATACATGCACTGTAATACAAGTTAATTCGCTTTCATATGTTAAATCATTCAGTCTGCTCCCGAGCTGCACTGTCGACCTCAAAAGGAAGCCTTTCACACTAGTCCTGATGAGACCACAACGACTTAACCGGGAAAGAGATAGTACCAAGGGAGTATTGTCATATCTAACAGAATCGATTGTCGACTGTAAAATAAATATTGATGCGTGTGATAATGCCGCGAACAGATTCACTGATCGAGGGGATTGAAAGTCCAAGCGTATCTTGCTCCCAACGTACGAACGAAGTAGAGGAACTTGCGAGAAGCGCTATTTGATATGGTTCGGAAGCGCTGGCGCATCTAATTCGACTGTACAGTGGGTGAAAATGATTGGATTTGAAAATTATTAGAACAAAGCAAATGCGCGCGACACACACTCCAGTTGTCGCCGACGAACTTGGTGACCTCGTGAGAATCTGTACAGCACAGCCACTTCTGGCCGATGACAAATACCCGACAACATGAGTGTATGTCAACTTCTCTTCCGTTCGTGATATTGCTGCCTTCGTTTCCAGTTTATTTCCAGCTTTTTGTTGTGTTTCTGATGCTCTTTCACTTTATTTAATAATTTCAGGTAGCCCCTGTTCTTCCTATGCCTTCATCAACACTCAAAATTCGCAGGCTTCATTCGCGTATTCTAGACAACATTACAGCCAATTCCAGGAAGGACATTTGGCCATGGCATTGCAACATGACCGGCCTCAGTTGATGAACTCGTCGCCAACGCATCCCAAGGTCAAGATATCAATGGATTTCTCAGATCCGTTGTTCGTCGGAGGTACCCACGTCTGCGGCCAACTCGCGATGGAGTGCAGGGCTGATAAAGGGCTTGGGATCAGTGGAATGATGGTGGAACTATTCGGAACTGAAGGTGCGAATCGCCGTCCGTCATGCTTGTGATCGTGCACTGGACAGGATTTGTCACAGAGTTGCTATCGCGGGACCATACAGCCAAAGCGCCTTTCCTCTACAGTCGACGGTTATTCCAAGGGCCAGGCCTTCCACCCTCTAATGCTGTACATGCCCGTCCTGCTCCAGGAGACCTTCCGTTGCCGTCACATTACTATCAGGCGAAGCGGGGGAAATCTACGTTCAATTTTCGCATACCGATACCAAGCACCAGTCCATCGACCATCAATTTTGCCTCGGGTTCAGCACGGGTTAGATATGAGGTTAGGGCGAGCGTGCAAGTGTTTTGGAGGGGCGAGAAAAAGGTGGTTACTGACACCCGGGAGGTCAATATCGTTGAAAGTTTTGAGGAAGACTTCTCCCGAGCAGAGCCTGAGACTGTCGCTGTTGGTGAAAACGGGAAAATCTGGATTCAAGGGAAGATTGTCGGTGGTATAATCGTGGCTGGCGAACCTGCGTGTATAGAATTACAGGTTAAGAACCATTCGACCCGCAGGGTATGTTTTCAGGACCATTTTAGAAATCCTGCTGATATGCACCTAGAATACTGGACTAATAGTGTCGCTCTCTCGGACTTTACATCTAGGCAGTGCGGACTCAGACAGGAAAAAACCCCTTCAGATCTCGGATAGTTTGTTAACCGTCCCGTTCCGTTTGCCCGAATACATCATACCACCAGGCGCCGAAGGTGTGGCCAGCTTGGTCTTTGATGTACCAGGGTCCGCTAGGAGTGTTAAGGGTGGTCATCTTGAGGGTGATAAGTCAGAAGCACGAAGAACGGATGCATTGTTTGAGATCAGAGCCTCCGTTGAGATTAAGATGACTATGGGCCTTGGGAAGTAAGTGCAACTGCTCGGCAATCAAATATCACGCTAACCCGACGTGCAGCAAAGACATTATAGTCAATGTACCAGTTGTCATTGTTCATCCGGCAGCCCTACCTGACCTGCCGCCATTACCACCTCAACTGCCAAATCCGTTTCCACATTCACCTGCATCACCTCAGCAATACTATGAGCCTGTTCAAAGCCCGTATGCATATCCTGCCCTTCCGATGCCACCTCCTATTCCAACATACGTAGACCATAATCTCGTTTGGATGCCGCCATCGGTTCCTCAGACTCCACAACCTTGTCAGTATTTTCCCCCTCCTGTTCATCAGCAGCAACACTACTATCTGCCACCTCCAACGATGCCGGTCTACACACAGTTGCCACGTCCGTCGAGTGCAGGCCCAAGCAGTAATCCGAGGTCTCTTTCTCGGCAGTCTCTACTTCCGTTGCCTCAACAAGCACAGTCGATGGAACCTGAAGCTGGGAAGGGCGAGCGCGCTTCTCGCGTTACGCAGCATCTTCGACTCTCCTCGCGCAATCGATCTGTCTCTCCTCTATCCCACCGTTATCCCCTGCCGTCAACTTCTAATCCCATTCCTATATCTCAATCACAACAGAACCTTCCTCGGAGCGTAATCTTTCCTCATTTGAGCCTAGAAAATCTTGCGCCGATATCAGTTTCGGACAATGTCGTACATTCTCCAAGACCGGTGTTGTCCCCCAAGCGGTCGTATGCTCCCTTACCGAATTCGCTACCGAAGAGCGAACGAGTAGAAGTGCTCGAACGGCTAGCCGATGAGGTTGGCAAACAAACTAAGGATCTGTCTGGAGACATACCGAAGGACGAGCCTGTGGATAAGTCGCCTGCTCCCCCTCGATCCGACCTCGACAAGACGTTACCTGGCCCTCCTGTTCCATCTGGCAAAGTTCCGCCATCCACGCAGTCTCGTCCGCGAGCTGATTTGTACTTTGCTAATGCCGATCCCATTCCTATAACTCCGCCGGAACCTGCACCCGCACCGCTTGACCACACACCTCCTACGCCAACGCTTACCGCGATCACGCCACACAAAAGGGTGAAAAATGGAACAGGTTATTTGGGAGCCGCTAACACAGAGAATGGCTTGGACGCTTTGGAGCGCAGACTACTGGCTGAAGTTGGGACACGGAAGTTTGATGTTGAAGAGCGGGGGCCAGACGCCAGAACAGCCTTGGCACCTATAGATATACCGAAAAAGCAGGACCCGGAGACTCTCAATGATTCTGCTATATCGAGCCTGACGTTGGCGGATGATCATGAGTGGGAGGAAAAGACGCATAGAGGTGCCGGAGTCATGTCGAATGCGTCTGGTGATGAAGGGAGGCGAGAGACGAGTGGGAAGAGTGTCAAGGGCTCTCCTAGTAAGGAAAAAGATGGTGATAAGAGAAGCGGAAAGAAGAAGAGGGATGGCGATACATCCAAGATGAGGAAGGCCAAGGGAAGAGTAGCGGAGTGGTTAGGCGGTATGCAAGCTGATCCTCCGCCGGCACCAAATGATCCTTCTCCTGATATGTATGCAATTGAACCCGAACACGCACAGGCAGAGGTTTCCATCCGCAGGGTTTTGGAGGTGATAGACGTAAAAGAAGAAGAAACCCAAAGCAAGGAGATGTCTTCACCCGACCATCGATCGTCTGGATTTGTGCCCATTGGTACTCTCAAGAGAGATCTGTACACTCGGACGCTAGTTCCAAAGGACGCAAGTCCACCTGAAGATGTTAAGCAGATTACCGATTTGTGGGCTGCGTCATCAGCTCACAAGGCTAAAGCTACATCTATCCAAGCTGACCGAAAAATGTCGCCTCCTTCAATGATCCCCCCCACACCACCTATTCCTACGAATCCATGGAAATCTCTTAAATCTCCTGCGGTCTCTCCAAAGAAGGACGTCCCCCCTTCTTCTCGACTTGCCGTTTCCCCGTCATCCAAGAGCACAGATCCCGAAGTCAAATATGGTGTACGCTCTGCCCGGGGCGGTCGCGGTGGAAAAGTGACTGCTGTTGCTGCTATATGGGCTTCTGGAGCTGTCAACGACGGGAAAGGAAAAGATGTGCAGCCCGCGTCCCCTTCGCCGCTTTTGAAACCACGCAGGTCTGGCGCAATCACACCGACCGCTGTGCGAAAACCCCCCATCGCTCCCAAACCTCCCCCCGTTGCTAAGAAGCCGGTTATCAAGTCGACTTCTGTTCCGGCGATTCTCTCGTCTTCGCATGCGACGCCAACGCTTTCAAGCACAGCGTCCCTTGCGAAGCCGCCTCTCGCGAAGCCCAGGTCGCCGGTGACTCTCCCTCCTACTATCAGCGAGATGGATGCACCAGCAAAACCAAAGGTCTCGCCTGCACCTGTCGTGGATTCCAAACGTCCAGCAGATCTGGCATTCGGCCAAGCGAAGCTCAGAGATCTCATCAAGAAGTACCAGGGCTGATATGCGCCGTCTCTTTTGTGTTCTCGTGTTACCTTTGATTTATTCGTCCATCTTCACGCAGTATATATATTATTCTTCACGATGCATATACCTCAGTACATTATATCGATAGCGACACGACCCATATTCATGAATGTAAATGACTATTTCTTTACAGACAATCAATAATGTAACCCCATCATTTTGGAGCTCAGACGATATTATTAAATAATAACGGAAAATCAATAAATATTTAATTGTTACCCGTGTTTCCCACAGGGTCCGTATCTTCTGTCTCGCAAAGCGACACGACTTGTGCTCTAGCCTCTTACCCATCGACGATACTTATCCTTCTTACCTACGATACTCATGCCTCTACCGCCCACCGCTCCGTCTATCGATGTCCAGAATCCATTGTATTGCCCCGCCGTACCCGCTGCTTCCTTCCTCAACGCGCTACGAACTCAGCTAAATCTTCCGATGCGACCGCTCCGGAATTCTTGCAGAAAAGGACGCCGTGTTGGCTCTAGGTTTGATCCCAAGGTCGTCGTTTCCTCGTTTACTCGTTTGCTTGGCAAGGCGCTCCTGCAGGACAGTTCTCCTCAGAACATGGTGCTCAGAACCATCAAGCCGCGTAGTCGAAACTACAACGTGGACTCGGGCTTCGTCCAACTTCCTTGGGACATCTCTGGCTCCTCCTCATCGAAGGATACCCCTCCAAGACCTGCCCTGAAGCGAAAACTATCTGATGACTTCCCGGAAATTCTCCACGGACCTGCCAAACACGTTAAATCTTTCGTTGCTTTTTCTGCTAGTGAAGACTCGAATCGTGAAGACGATGAACGGGTGGAATTTGTACCGCTGGATTTGTGCCGAACCTGGGATAGCGACACGTCTCCGGTCAAGATTCAGGAACCGGTAGAGAAGGCAGCAGCAGTTTCGGTTGAGGACCAGTTAGTGGATCGTGTACGGATGCTTGAAGGTACATTTTTTTTAAATATGCGACTGAAGAATCTACTGCATATATGCGCGTACAGACCTTCTTTACGGTCCTCCGATTGGTCCAGAATCGCCTCGCGGACTGAGTATTCTCATTGATCGACTGGACACCCTACTTCCTGGCATCCGACTGAAAGAACGACTTGGCGCATTGCAAAACAAGTCGCATCAAGGCATCACTGATTACTTGGGTGAACATGGTTGGTAAAAGATTGGAATCTTACGAGCCATTTCTGATCGCCTTGATAGGCCTGCTAAACAGCCGTATCATTTCTATCCTGCGAACGTCCGAAATTCGTAACCTATGGTTGGGCAACTCCCTAGCCGATGAAGACGGCTTGAATATTGATGGACGCGATGTTTTCTCAGGTATGGGCCAACCTACACTCCTGGTATGCAGCTGTTTTGGGTCGCACAGAAACTGGAGAAAATGGGTGGATACCAGATCAAATTATGATCCAGGATTTTGACTACAGCAAAATGAGTCGGAACCGACACATTTCTCTGTGGTCAAAGGGCCCGGTCAAAATGTCATCTGTGTTCCAACATTTCCTTTGCATTTTGATCGGCGCTAAATGGTCGCCTGCCAGGAGTGCTACCTCCCAATTCCCGTAAATGAAGCCTCTGTTTAGTTTTCAGCAAGCCGAACAGCTTCCTATTTCTATCGTTCCTTTCCCTTGTTGGTACTCTGGTCCATGATTTTGACCTTGTGCATATTCAACGTCTGCCTCGACTTGCCGCGCTGCACCTCAGTAATACTGGTATCGGGAATGAAGCGTGAGTATCTTCGTTCATAGCTGAGGCATCCGGACTAATCCATTCATCAAGAGTATACATCATCATCTCACTCAAGCGAACTCTTACTCATCTTTCTGTTGCTACCAATCCGGACATTGACAACGATGCGATACCCGCACTCCTGCTCCTCTCTAGATTGTCTTTCCTGTCCATCCAGGACACTAGTATTGATATGGCCGGTCTTCGTCGTCTGGCGCATGTCATCAACCACGAAGGACGAATCATTGACGTAGAGATACCTGAAACTTGCGAGCACTACATTGATAGTAAGACTGTCTTCTTTTTGACCGCCCTTACGCTCATCGCACTTCTCAGACCTCCATGAGAAATACCTTATCGACATCCAGCCTCCACTAATTCACCGTGCTTCTCTCTGTTCGCAACTCTCCGGTGCGGCGCTGAAGCGTAACCTTGTGGCACATGCGACCTGTAATCCAACCATCCTTGCTGCGGGTACTAAAGCGGAGATGAAGGAGCGCCTAGAAGGTATCTTGAAGGTGAGGGAGATGGACATACTTGTGAATGCAATGATATCGGCGTGAACTTTTTTATTATCAAGCTTTCGACCAATTGTTTTTTTTGTATGTTTTGACCCGGCTTTGTTTTTTCGTCGCTGTTGTGATTATGAACGTACTATACTATGGAATAATAATAATGTTTAATGCCTGATTGTATCTTTCAGGATGATGGTGATGGTCTAAATTGGTGACCGGTAACACGCCTCGTGATAGGCGGCGGAGATATAGTACGTCACTGCTATGTATGACTTAACACCACTACTCGTTGCAATGCTATTCTAGTTGTCAGCTCTCTGGAATGTGAAACTATTTGGTGAAACCCCTTGTGTAGTCTAGGTAACTGTTCTCCGTTGCATAAATCATACTACTACAGAAAAATAAGAATGGATGAGGGCTCGGGGGGCCCGGTGTCGTTTTTTTGGTACTCTTGTTCCATTAGTTTTCATCTTTTTGTTCATGCGGCTCTGATTCGTCTTCTCATAGTGACGGCTCCATATCTCGCGTCGGATTGCCGGTCTTTATGAAAGGCTCCCGACTCTGCCTAGGGGGAAACTTTATGACCACTTCGAAGCCCTCTGGAGGTCACACGCACATCACTGGGTTGGTTTCTGCGACCCTTCTCGTGGGATGTGTCGGTGCTCAACGTATCTTGGGCAGGTTCGTATGATGTGGACGGAAAACGGAACTTGAGCTTCCAAAACCTTCTGTATGTGATGTGTGAGAATGCCGGTCTTCAAAGCACGCGTAATACCCTCGGCGAAACTTCATATTGAATTTTTTTTGGGGGGGGGCGCTGTCGACGCGGAATACGGGGACGAGAATGTAATCAATCCTTCAGGCACTCCGCATGTTTACTCTTTCGGGCTTGCTATTATATATAGTGCATCGCTTCTCGTTCTGATTGTACGAACGAGTCGCCCCCCCCCCCCCCCCCCCCCCGCCACATCAGCCGTGATGTGCAACAATCAACTTCCATTTAACTTGGCTACCCCACTCCTCTCTCAAATACACCGGCGGTATGAAAGGTGCAGAGGCATGCGGGAAGGTCGGTCTAGTGAAGAATACACCTGATCGATAAGGCACTGTTTGTTCACCAGTGGGGTCTCGGTCCTGACTCGGCACTGTCGAGGACCCTCTGGCAATTCAACGTAATTGAATCCCCCCCTTCTCGCATCTTCTGAAAGTAAAATAAGCGTGGTCGCACTTCTGATCCAGGGTATGCTGCAATACAAACACCTAAGTTGCAACGGATTACGTATGGCGTTTTGGTCCGAATAATCATTGTGGGCTTCGGGATATGTATACCGTGGAGGGAACGAAGGAAAACACCATGCCATCGCACTCCTTTTAGTGTGGCGCACGAGGCTAGCTGTCTCGTGACCGCGCCAGTCGCGTCTCGAATGCGAGCCCCATTCTTCGTGGTGGCACTTTTGTTCAACCGAATAAATTAATCATTGTCTATTTCATCCTCGAAATTGAATCTACGTTCCATCCGTCGTTCGCTATGGAAGACTCATTGCCCTTGTGACCATACCCCGTTTGAAATGTTCCGCACGGCCCACTGTCAAAAGTCATACCCGGCGGTTATCTCATGATTCTCAAGGGTCAAAGGGCGCCGGTGTCTCAGTGGTCGATCGTCTGATCGACAAACGTTTGTTGGGTCGAATATTATTACAGAGTCGTAGATAGTCATAATAAATAACGTCGAAATCATTCTAACGATAAAATATAACAGTATAGTATAACGTGTAGAGAAGAGACATTGATAGCATAAAGTTTCATCACCCGTCCTGCAGGACTTCGACGTGGAACTGTCGCCAGTCAATCCTGGCAGGGTCATCTTCATCCAGGGGTTCATCATCATCACCTATCCAAGATTCCTCTTCCTCCAAGACCCTCGGAAACTCCACTATGGTGCTTCGACGATTGCTGTAGAATGAGGAGCGCGGGGACTGTGTCGAGGGAGGGGGCATGGTTTGAATGGACGTCGGTCGTTCTCGACGGGGAAATGCAAGGCTATGGACTGAGCCACTCATTGAAGATCCAGAGAAGGAAAGAAAGGATTCGAGTTTTGGGGGAGGTGGGGATATCTCAATATATATAGAACGAGCATTGGGGGCAGCGGTAAATGGGTCCAGGGAGTGAAAGGATATTTCATCTGAATTGCAAGAGCTGCTACTACAATATGAATGGTTAATGGAGCTGAAATGGGGAGGAGGAAGTAATGTAGACTTACTGTGTACGAGTTGGTTCCACGGGACGAGGTTCCGGGGCAGTTATCCAGACGACGTCCGAGTCATCTGGCACCACCGACTGCTTGCGCAAGGACTTTCTTCGAGGTATTTTCGCGGCAAGATCCGCGGACCTTCGCTCTCCGGTCGACGGATTCGTCGTTATTCGGTCGAAGAGACGCGAGGAGAACTCGGCAACTGATGAACGTCGCCGCCGCTTCTCTTGCACCGAAAAGTCGGAATCGGTGTCGAGGGATCCAGATACGCTCATTCTTTTGTAGACGCTGGAATGGCGACGAAGGTCTTTTGGCTGGGGTGATGGGGTGATGGAGAACTCGGGGAAGATAGCCGAAGCTGGCTGACGCTGCCGTTCGTAGGCACGACGAGCCTTTGCAAGTAGACCGGATGCAAAGAAGTCAGAGTAGCCTGCCAATCGCTCTCTTGTTGACTGCATGGCGGAGGCAAGAGTTGAGGGGGTGCTGCGAGGGGACATTATAGACAGGCGCCAGGTCCAGACAGCACTTATAGAGAAAAGTGGGCAACCTGATTCCAGAGGCACTGTCCCGCGATGGTATCAAGTGGGCCCGTATAATATATACGAGTCCAGTCCAAGAACTGAGTTGGTTGGAAATTGGAGTCGATCGTAATGCTGATCAGCGGACCCGACCTAGATCTCGGTACAGGGGCAACGGTTGGGGTCCGCGAAGAGAAGAAACGGCCAGGTGCTGGTTACAGAAGTTCCCATAATAACTCGGATTATCGGAGAAGATTGGAGCAGGCTGCGTGATGAATGAGGTAGACTTGGGTCCTGATTATCACTGAATGATTTGGTTTCGTATGTTGCTTGTGATTTGGCGGCAAATGGTTTGATCGACACCAGCCATCACAGGAGAAAATGCAGAAGGCTTGTTCGTTTATTGAAAAGTTGGGTGATATAAATACGTCTGAGTAATATACAAGTCAGTTTTAATGAATGTCAAATCAAACAATCGCACCTTGACCACGGTCCACTTTTTTTTTTTTTCCATTCATCAGTGGGAAAGCATCAACCAAGATTTCATATCAGTGTGATCCACATTGCTTACCTTCGGGTATTGGGGAGAGCTGGGGGCCGAAACATCGGCTGTGGTTGATGATCTAAGTGATACATAATTAAAGAACAATAGGGCCATATACAACTATAGGCGCAGTTGGGAGCTGAGAACGGCATAAAACACGAACGGTGCTAGGAGTCGTACAGGAAACGAAATGAGGCGTGATTACTGCACGGAAACATCAAACTAGGCATTACTCTCGTCATTCCGTCATCTCCTAGCATTCTGCGCCTGCGTCTCCGCCTGCGCTAGCCGTTCCTTTTGTGCTTCAGCAATCACTCGCCGTTGATTGAAGTATTCAATCTTTTTATCTCGTCAGAACCGGAATGATCGCAACACGACAAAAAAGAGTACCTACCCAGCTCTGCGCGCAGTTTTTCTCGTAATTCTTCGCTTCAGAGAGACATGACCCACTCGGCTTTTCATCGCCAGCTTTCACAACACCTGCATGGTCCAAACAGGCAAAATACGCATCTCGGAATTCATAGCATTTCTGGCGATCTTGTCGGAGAGGCGCGCTTTCTTTTTTCTTGGGCTCTGATGACGTGAATGGCCACCACATTGCGCGTCGGTGGGAAAGGAGAGAAACTTTGTTTGTTCTAGGAGCTGACAGACAACTATTCGGCTAGCGGGCCGATGGCAAAGCACCGGTGTGGAACCGATCGGCCGAGGCCTTTCATCTACTCGCCTGACGTCATGAATCAAGTCCGATTCGGACTGACGTCGACGAGCGAGCGGCGTTTCTTGCCGCCAACGTTCTCTCTTTCACTTACTTCCACCGCCATATTGGCCCAGACTCTGGTACATTCTCTAGATTCCGTATCCGCGCGCTTGGAGCTCAGCGTTCAGAACAGTCCTCGTCCCACGAATGACAGCGGGCTACTGCTTGGAGAGTCGAGTTTCGGAATGCACAATCTTCCGAACAATTTACAAGAATCCTTTCAGCTCCATTCTACCTCCCGGGTCCACCTGGACCAGAGTGGTTGTTTCAGAACATGTATGTTAGTTCACCCCGGGTGGTCGAAGGTATAGCAGCGTATTAGCTGGAATGTCTACGTAAGTCTCAGAATTTCTCTTTGTATGTCTCTTTCTACTCCTGTCCTGCTGAAGCTGATTTGCGCGCTTATTGTCTTCGGAAGACTCATTTTCGCAGAGTCCCGAGTGACGAGCTTACGGCTTGAGCATTCACTTCTCGAATCACGTCTTTTTTTTTTTTCGACGGCCTCATTCGACGACAAAATATTTATCCCCTCAACTCTGTGCTTCCGGTTATCTGTATGAGCTCATCTCGAACAGGTGGCTCATTACGGGTGCTCAAGACTGCGACAACTGCTCCAATGACTTGTCAACGTAAGTTTTGTATGCGCCTTAATCCATGTGCTTCTTAACTCTGATACTATATACAAGTTGGCAGTACGGGTGCGAGTGTGCAACACCTGACCACTCAGTCAGGACAACGTTATGTTATCCGGTTCTAGAGAGATTGGGACCATCGTGTTGTGGCGGTAAGGTCTCCTAAGATCATGGTCACACATCATTCTTACTGGGCACCTGAAGAGACGCGTTGCCCGATGACCGGCGCTCATGTCCGTTCTTATTATCCCCATTGTGAGGTTGAACTCTCATAGGACACTGCAGCACAGCTGCATCATATCTATTGGTGTTGTGTTTGAGCAACAGCATGCACGCCCACGCTGATTAGATATCTTGCCGTACCTCTGGACTCGCCTTGGTGCGACGGGCTCGCTGACGCTACCTTTTATTTTCGCAAGAACCCTGACCATATATTACATAGTGCTCGCTTCGATCAGAATGTCAACATACTAACTGCTACTACGACGAAAAATAGGACGAACGGTGCTTTTTTTTTTATCCACAAGCTCAGTACATACACCACCCGAACAACAGAACATGCGAGCTTAACGCCGACGGCCGCGTCTACCACCACCTTTTGAATTGTTGTGCTTTTGCTTGTCGTATGCCTCCTTCCGCAGAATGGCATTGCATACCCAACAATACAACCCTCCCGAGCTGGTGTTTTCGTCGGGAAAACAGTCCACGGATAGAAATCGCCGGCACCCTGCACACCTGTGTGTGGGTTTTCCAGCATCATAATCGATGATGTCCAAAGGCAACAAACAGTGAGAATCGAAATGCCGGTATTTTTCCGGCTTCCCAGCTTCCCAGAACGTGATGTACCGCTCGCTTTGCTCTGGGAGTTCTTCTGTGAGGTAATTTTGGGATTTGAAGTGCTCGTAGACGCTTTCGATGAGTTGTGCATCCTGGGCAGCATATCCGAGTTGCTCTTGCGATAAAGGTCGTTTGAGCCACTTCCTGTGATCGACTGAGCAAAGGTATGTATTAGTTATGGATACGAGATGGGTTTCCATGGTCCACTGACCACTAGCTTTTCTCTCGTCATGTTGTAGATGTTCTCGAGCACAGCGTGCCAGACCCGACAAGCAAATCAACATTTGGTACTCGTCTGGACTTTCCGCGACCATTCTTGGCGGAAGAAAAGCACGAATGCGATCCAACCGCATAGACTCTGTTTCCCCCCGGTCCTGGCGGGAATGCAAATCTGCGAGTTGGAGATCGATGACACCGGCTACGGAAACGGCATATTCATGCCACAGCGCACTATAGTCCATCCTTCCATCAAAGAATATTTTCACGCGCGAGTCATCTTGGAGGAGATCAAAGATTCGCCGCATATTTTTCCTCTTCAGCCTGAGGAGGTCGAATATGTAGATGGGCGCATCGTTGGAAATGGGGGTTATAGTTAGAAGGGATAGACGCCCGCCTCTACAGCCAAGCTGATCACCCTCGCAGTCTACTGCGAGATGGGTGTAGCTGGAGAGAACTGGCACGGCTACTGCTACTTCCCCAGCGTTGTCACATAGGATGTATTCCTTGGATGACATGAGTGGGCAAGGCAGGTTCCTTACACCTTCGCTTCACACGCATGTCCCCTCTGATGTAATGACAAAGCTTGTCACGCGCTTGTACATGACGCGTTGAGATGCTGTGGTGCGAAAAAAACAAGAAAGAAGCAAAGGGGAAGAGAATCTGAATTGGTCTTTACATTCATGTTCGAAGTGTAATGGTAACTGATCAAGGGGCTGGATCTTTCGATGCACTGGCTGTATTGTGAAAAACAGCAATAGACCCGGGATGAGATGATGGAACATGATTCTTGTAAGATTCCTTATCATTACAAGAATAAGGAGGAATAGACTGTCACAACACGATCACTTGGGGGTCTGATTCATGGTGGCTTGCACGATGTCAAGCATGGGACCATGAGCCAGAAAGGCTGGAACAGTACAGCATTACCTCGCTCGGACTCGGGTCTAGTTCCAGAGACGACGACTCTGCCAGTTCGAAGTCAAAGGAACCAAGCCTGGGGACCGAGTCTGGAGGAGGTTCCGAGTTGGGGTGGGGTAAACCCTCGGAGTGGACTAGGAGGAAATCCCATGGGTCGACGAAGAGTAGTGGATCGGGGTCGTCGTTGTCTGGGGGGAAGGACGGTTCCTCCGGCTCTCGCAGAAGTAGTGTGTGCTTTGGGCCCCATACCCATGGTGGTTCGATTTCGTCCTCGGTCGCGGCTGGAGGATGGACGCGGCAGATAGGCGATTGGTTATCCTCCGTTGGTACCTCTTGGACCTGGCCGTGGGGTATATCTTGTACTTGAGCTTGAGCATCCGGGTCGCAGCCCTGATCATGGCTTGGAAATGCGTCCTGTATAAACTTGGTCAGGAAATGTTTTTTGAGACCGATAGATCTGCGCTGGGCCACCTTGTTGAGTGCCTTTAAGGAGAACTTCATTGTGAATCTAAGGGGGGGGGAACTGAAAGAAAGGTACCATCTTATATGGGGCGTCCTGAGTAAGGACTAGTACATAACGGACAGATACATTATTGTCCGTATTGGATTGCAGACCAAAAAAAAGTGGCAATGACGAGAAGCTGAGCCACCCGAGTCACCGATAGGACCATGGCTGGTTGACAACAATACAACATTAGAGCAGATCAGACAAGAATGTACAACTGAATCGTCGACAGATGAGCAGAGAGACAAAAGATTCCTTGATAGGGATCGGCGGACGAGAATTGCAATTGATGTCCTGAACATGAACATGAACATGAGGCAACTCGGTTCAGTACGTAAAGCTCCGCGGACCTTTTTTGTGGGTTATTACCATGACCTCTGACGACCGCCTACTACGATGAGCCTAAGCTGGCTTTCGAGGAACCTCCGTTTCGACGATGCAGACGCCCGTGAGGACAGGGGCCCTCTGCTGGCCTTCATTCGAAGGCCCAGAAAGCTGCGCAAGGCACCGCCACCTGTGCAGCCCAGGTATCCGCGTAATAATCGATTCGCGGCACGACGCAACCTCAAGGCGTCCAAGGTCGTGGAAGGACACGGATATCTGAAAAATGCTTCAGAGTTGATCCATCAGCATCGGGGGTCTTTGGGGTCGAATGTGCCGTCGTTGGATACCAGATGGGCGCAGTGAGCCAACCTTTTTTTGTTTCTTTTTTTTTTTGTTTTCTGGAATCTGAATTGCTAAGTTTATGTTTCCTCTAGGCTTTTTACTGTTGCTCCAGTACTGCGAAAGCTTACCAAAGGTCGGCAGAAGCCGCAGGAGTGGTGTGATAATGCGAGACAGCTTCTTAAGGACGTTCAGGTAAGCTATGTATTGAATCACTGGGAAAATGGAGCGGAAAGTGAAAAAAAAAATTGTAACTTAGAAAAAACTGAGAGATGCGCGTCGGCGGAGTCGCGGATCTGCTTCGATATTCAGTTTCATTTCGTTGGGAAGCACACGTCGGTCCCGAAAACGTACCCCCGCCTCGTCCAATCAGAGCCATTCTACATACCGTTCTCCAAAACACACACCGCGCCATCACCACCACCACCATCAGCCAAGAACTAGGGTGAGTTGTTCTCTCTTGTTTGTTTGTTGATATCGTGACCAACGAGATGATCCCAGGACCCGGCACCGGTCATGTCGCCTTCGTCTTTTCATCATATCGTCGAATTGAAGCCCCTACCGCCAATACCAGATTCTCAAGGTCGTTTCTTTGAGAACTGGAGTTCCGCCTCCGGGTCGCCTCGTCGACACTACCATCGCAGGCTCTTTTTTCCCTCCTCAGATTCCTTAAAGGCGACATCGCCGCGTTTGTAAACAGTTGTAATTTTCCCCCTTCAAGTTGATACCCTCCCCCACACACCAACTTTGTCTGTATTTCAACTTGTGTATCTAGTACTTCTCTGCGTATATGTGCGCTTATTCTCAATGTGTTCCTCTTTATCGTATCCCGTGATGACTTGGACAATCGCCGGCATCTCCTATCGACAACAACTCGCAAGTCTCGGCGACCAACAAGGAAATGGCTCGTAGAGCTGACGAGTCGATGCGTATGTCTTTGTTGTATATGCCGAGTCATTCGTTCAGGTGATGATGGCGATGCTTGACTCGCGTGGATGTGATTCTATTCCAGGGTAGCTTATCATAAAGGCAGCTTCTTGGTGTCATGCGCTCAGGATTCGTTATCTTCTCCCTAACTATTACCTGCTTACTATGGCGACGCAAGCAAACTCTGTCCCGCATCCGACTTTGGTGAAGGTGTGTACAGAAAGTGATTCCATATCAGTTCTTGACACACAGGCCTTTTGTTAGATCGACCCGTTCATGTTCGTGGTTAATCTCCTTGTCCTAAGTATACAACCGCCCATATAGCGAGCGATTGACAGACCGGCCGACCAGCAGAAGGTTTGCACAACATACTAGAAGTAGTCTCTTATCTGACACACTGCAAAGGGTATACATAATCGCTGGCAGTACGTCCCCTCATTCTCAGTTGCCATTATCTTGAAGCAGCTTCTTCTAGCCCGGACATCCCCCCATTTGCGACGGTAAAAACTGGCGAGGTGAGTCGCGCTTCGCTCCTGGGAAAATATGCAGTTCTTCACAGGCTATTTAGGTATTCAAGGTGGAATGTATTGGTATGAGCTCAGCTCCGTATCGCATCTGTCCCTCTGAACTGTCTGGGACAAGACTGGACCGGCGCTCAAATTGGCAACAATGACAGTGAGTTTTATCATGAATGGTGCATGCTATATGCTACTACTTGGTCTGTAGGCAGTGACGATATCAGGGACGTTGATCTCACCAAGATTCATAATCTCTCTGGGCCTATTGCCGTCGAAGGCGCCGAACCAGGCGACTGCTTGGTCGTCGATATTCTCGACGGTGGGGCGTTCTCTCCTATACGGATAACACAATTTGAATATACATTCATCAGTGACACCGTTCGAGAAGATGCCTTGGGGCTTCACCGTACGCCAACTTTCCCTTGATCAAAAACCACCCTGATGTTCCTATTCTATAGGGAATCTTTGAACTTGAAAACGGCGGGGGACTATTCGGTTCGTGCTTTTCCCTACGCACGAGATACAATTTGCTGATACTAGATACCCAGCGCGTGAGTTCAAGAGCCGTGCTGCGAAAGCCATCTGGGACTTCAAAGGTACCCCCGCATAACCTAACCTAATCTTGTCTTTGTCCTGTATCACTGATCGACAGCGCAAAGGCGTGTACGCGACCTCTCGACACATTCCCGGCGTACGTTTTGCAGGGGTCTCGCACCCAGGTCTGATCGGGACCGCACCCTCCGCCGACCTTCTCGCTACGTGGAACAAACGCGAGTGCGGGCTGATTGCAGAGCATGCAGATGCCGTCCCGCCCGTCGCGTATGCGCCGAATCCCGTGGGCGCGTATGTCGGCCAGGATAATCTCGACCCCGAGGTGAGAAAATCGATTATGGAGAATGGGGCTAGGACTGTGCCCGGGAGGGAACATGGGGGGAATTGTGATGTACGTTCAAGCTTCTTGTTTTTTTTTTTTCGCGGACAACAGACTGTTTGACTCGTGGGGATAGATCAAGAACCTATCAAGGTCCTTTGTGACCCATTTTTCCCCCCCTTCTACTTTCTTGATTGGTGTTCTGCAGGGGTTCTCGTTGTTATTTCCCGGTGTTCGTTCCCGGAGCGAATTTGTCGGTCGGTGACTTGCATTTTTCCCAAGGAGATGTACGTGTATCCTGTCAGTTTTATAGTTATAGATATTGATATTGTTCCCCTTGCTAGGGAGAAGTTAAGCGCCAAACTATTTGAATGACCCAGGGCTGAGCCGAATGTCTGCAGCTCGCGTTTTGCGGAGCTATTGAGATGGTATGAGCCGAACCATGTTAGCTCGGGGGGTATTTTATTACAACGTGTAGGCGGGCATCATAACTTTTAGTACCAGCATTATCAAAGGCGGCGTGGAGAAGTTTGCTTTGAAACAGCCCATCTTTATGGTACGTTCCCGGATGTGCTCATTCACTTCAGCAGCTGACCTAGAGCATCGGTAGCCTTCTCCAATCGACCCGTTGTACTCCTCCAAAGTCAAGCACATCGTATCGAATCGCTTTTGGCCTGAGCTAACTTTCCGTATGTAGCTTATCTTTGAGGGAATAAGTGTCGATTATCGTATGTCTGTATCTCCTGTTGGTGCCATTGTTGATCTGATGGCCTTTGCAGATGGAGATGGAAAACAATACAATATGGATGCGTGAGTTATGAGCCGCCTGTCAAATCCTGCATTTCACAGTCCCCAATAGAACCGTGGCATATAAACAGGCAGCTTTGAATGCTATTGCGTATTTGATGAAGGTGATCTAAATTCATGGCCACAGCATCATCAGTCCAGGCTTACGATTATGCTACCAGATTGGATATAGTACGTGCTAACCTCTCTCTAACATCTTTGGATGATATAATGCTCATCTGGTCACCATAGCTCGAGAACAAGCCTGTAAGTCGCTGTTTCACATATGCATGTCGCTTCTACAAACCGAATATCTAGATCTCCTTTTATCGGCAGCCCCAATTGAGAGTCACGTGGGAGCTATAGTCGTACGTTTCTTTTTCACGACTAACCCTCTTGGATGTTTGACATATAAGATAGGATTCTCCCAATGCATGTGTAACCCTGGCATTGCCTACGGGTATTTTCGAGCATGTCAGTATATCGATTCTTGATTCCTCTGATTTTTGATTCTCAGTTGCATTGCAGGATATTCTTCCTAAGCCAGAGGGCCTTACGAAGCATGATTTTGGCCAATGCGCTATCAGGAGTGACGGTGTTATTTGAGATGCAAGATGTTTCTATGTACAATAATCATAAAATTCGATGGTACAAGTGCAAATTTATAAAAATTGTTACAATTTATACATGTAGGACTACCAAATGAAAGAAATCGATATCTTTACACCCTTCAAGTAATCCCTCCAGACGCATGGCTTTGGCAGTAGCGTCGTTGCTGAGAGTACAGCTGAAGATGTCTCCAGTGATGATATCATGGATGTAAATGCTTGAGACATATGTGTTGTCCAGGATCACCCAGACGAGACCAGGAAGCAGTCTGTATTCACTGGTGTTCTTGACTCGGCACTGCACACAAGATAAGGATGGACATCGGTGGCTTATCTGCAAGAAGAGTCAAGGATTAATCTTTGTAATCGTCACATATGAGGTGCTACTCTGGAATGGAAGCACCATGACTGCGACTTGATGTTCGATGCCATCACGAGGGATTGTCCATTTGCCTTTGACAGTGTATGAGTTGGTGAATGGTGTCTCGGTGACCAACACTGATGCCTCGAATGCGGTGGATCCATCGAGGAGAATTACCTCCTCAAATATCTCCTCAGATGCATTGAAGAGCATCTGTAGCGTCTCAGCTTGAGGTCGAGGTGCTGGCACACCCATGCTTGGAAAGGTCAAGTAGGGATGCACTACTTGCCACCTGTTGAGCAGCCGCTTGTGTTAGAATCCAAAGCCTGTAGAAGCAGTAGCTCAGTCTTGACACGTTAGGACATAGAAGGACTATATTAAGTACCTGTAGAGGCAGTAGCTACAGGTCTAATGAGTAACGTATGGACTAGAAGATTAAACGAGATGGCTCACCTCAGTCTCGACACGTTAGGACGTAGAAGGACTGAGGAAAGAGCTGTGTGATGAGGTAAGCCTATAAATACTTGTCCGAGAAACAAAGGAACATCCCCGGTGTTTACCGATGCGTTGTCATGTATCCCAGATGTCAACAGCTTGGCCTAGTACCGATGCCTGACCCACCGAAAATGCACTATCGAATGCCCTAGATGAGGTCATTACTGGGTTTTTGTTGAACAATGGAACAGCTGTATTGGGAATTGATGGAGTTTTATGTATCCAAGTGCCATGCAGGCTGCGGTCTGATCTTGATCTGCTGAAGTTTTGGGATAGTCTTTCTTGACAGGTCATTGGAGGTGTTGAGTGTGATCGCAGCGTCCTTCCAATCTTCTTCAGTACTCTGAGTGACATGATGTTCTATCCAGCCTATGTGAAACATGTGATAAGCATATGTCTCACAACACCTTACAGGTATTCTTACCTTCAGCTCCAGGGGAAAAGTGCGAACTACTTCTGCCTTTGAATATTTGTAAATAGCAGCAGATTTGACAGGAAAATCGGAAGGAAGAATTTGAATCAACATGGTGGTGAACAGTAAAGAGTTTATCTAGAATTCGGAAACTGGCATGTCCCAATAAAGTTCTACAGCTGCAAAATATGTCACAGACTATAAAAGTGCCATGTTGCCGTGATAGCCACTGAAAAGATGTGGAACTGGGAATGTCTCACAGGTTTGATGCTGTTAGAGGGATGGAATAAGATGATGAGTATTAGACATTGTCCATCATGTTACATGTATGTAGTCAGATACTCGTAAATACTCATGGACATCATGAATGATGAAAAGAACGATAAGGGAACAAGAGTTACAAAAGATTAAAAGGTGGAGAACGGTGATGCACTGCATGATTAACGGCGATGAAGCAGGTCAAGGAACAAAAAGAGAAGGATTGAATGCACTGATGCATGATTGCAGAGAAAGAAAACTTGAAAGGGGGGAATGGAATGCAAGTACGACACAAATGGGAGATCGAACTATTTATATACCATGCGAGCGAAGTGGCTGTGATTCTCGTAATTCCCACACCTCTTTTACCTCTTTGACATGGTTCGGTTCAAGGTCAGTGAAATCGTGAAAATAAAGCTGAAGAGGTGCTGGATTTACCAACAGAATCGATGGTTTTTGGTAGAGCTTATCCCAGTATGCGAGCAGCAAAGGGTTTCGACTCGGCTTGATGCAAAACAAATCTGGGCTGCTTTGAAGGAAGGCATTCAAAATTATTTTAGCGATGTAGGCTGGGGTAGTGTAGCAGATTCTTTGACTGGTTTGTTTTATTTTGCCATATGATTTTAATGGTGTTGATAATAGTTCTAGTCAAATATTTCTCGCCAACAACAAATATATGTATTATCCGTGTCGCGAGGGACCACCACCATGTTGCTCGAGGAGGGATCACATTGCTGGATTCGATAAATGGAATCCGGATTGTTCCATATGTTATACACATGTCTGGTTCGTATTCAAATCAAACTGTTGGTACGCGTCTGACACTCTTCTTTGGCAGGTACAATCAAACACGCCCAATTATCCACCATAGAATACAATCGTAAAGTGATAGCTCAGTATCGAGCCAGAGCGCAGACTCCAGGTATATCCTATTCCGATGCTGCTGCTGAAGCATTCGCTCACTTTCTTTTTAGCTTCTTACAAGGATTCCTATGATGAATATTTGGACACCAGTACGCAAGAAATTGAATCATTGCACGACTGAACCATTCCCACGTTCAATTACCTGCCCACCCAAGCATCCTTATTTCGTGGGAGATCGCATTTCCGCAACAAACTTGTCGGTCGCGACTATCGCTATTCCAGCCAATGCCTTCACTGAAGCCTTGCATTGTCGTTTATCGTCTTTTTTCTCATGTGCTTCGATCTTCTTTCCTCTCCGAAACCAATGCTATTCCAGCGGGCCCGTGTAACTTCACTACGACTTTCGAGGCGGATAATGATGCTGTCCTTCAACAGACACCTCTGCGTCCCAGGAGGTCGTCCAGGGAGGGGCTTTTGCCGGCGGCGACAATTTCGAAGGCTTTTGAATCGCCTTCTGAGCACGCCCGGGCCGTATCCGGCTACGATGCGGAGAATATCCGCGGCTCCGCCGCTGTACGATGGCCGCGGGCACCTCCTTTCTTATGAACGCCGCCATTTTTCATCCATCACCTCCCCATACATACTGCTGTATTGACGATGTCTCCAAAATTCCAACCCGCCATTGGTCAGTCCCTTGTTGATGTTAAACAATGAAGATGTTATAAACAAACAACGAAATGCCGATCTCTTGTCACCCTATCTTACGCCCTAGATAGGGCGACTTGTCTTATCTACCGGAAAAGCGAATAGGACAGGGCTAGCATCTATATAGATAGCGTTTCTCGCACTTCATCCGAGGAACCCTAAATTTTGGTCAATGTCTGATCAACCTGTTATCGTCTCACTGTCTGATGCAGAACGTGCTGAAGGGAGATACTCCAAGTGTAGCCTGCAACGAGCAATCGAAGGTTTGAATCGCGATGGTGCGGTCTATTTAGAGAATATCGGTGCGCTGTTTTGTCGAAGGAAGATCATATTCTGAAGCTCATTCGTCATAGTTGATCCTGAACATGTTGAGAAGCTTCGACTTGCGATGCTGGATGAAGCAAAGATCCTGAAGGCCAAGAAGGGGGACGACATCTCCCAGTATAATCAAGGTGTCGCCAGTATGTAATGATTTTGGGCTTATTGTGTACTTGGCGGTCTGAGTCTGAGTCATCAAGCGAACTTCCTTCAGTCTCCTCCACTTGCCACCCGGTCTCTCTTCTTTGAGGACGTATATGCCAATGCATTCGTTCACCAGGTCGTTTCGTACTATTTGGGTAAGTCTGCTGCAGCGCCTCTATTGATTATTGTTCCCACCGGACCGTTTACAGGTCCTTCCGCCTCTTGGTCCTTTATAAGCGGCAACAACGCTAACAAGCAGACCACGGAACGTCAAGACGTGCACAAAGATAGTTCATTCATCCATCCTCTCGCTCCCTCAATCATTATCGCCAACTTCCCTCTCTCTGAATTCACACCGGAGAATGGGTCGACGGAAATGTGGCTTGGTTCCCATGCTACTACTGATCCGGGTGACCAGATGTGGCCTGCGCAGTACCCGACATCACGCGAGCCTCTATGCTTTATCCGTCCTGAGCTCGTCGAGGAGCGCAGGAAATTCCGCCCGCCCATCCAGATTGTATGCAAGCCGGGAGGTGTAATGTTGCGCGATCAGCGTATCTGGCATGCGGGTATGCCTAACACCAGTAATGAGGATAGGATCATGTTGGCTATGATGTTCACCGCGGCTTGGTTCCTTAACGATCGCAAATTCAAGGTATGGTGTTCTTTTCGCATCGCTTTTTGGTAAGATATTGAATATCGATAATAGCTTCCTTACTTCGCGAGGGAGATTCTCGAGTCCAAGCCCTTAGCTGTGACGGTTCAGGCTGAATATGTCAGTGAGGCCGAATGTGAAGAGAGTCTGCATCAATGGGGAAATGGTATCAAGCCATCGGACCCAAACTACCAAAGTCTTTGGGAAAGCGCTCAGCTGAAGAACAAGGCGTAACTAAACTACGTACGTCAGTGAAAGAAACCGCAGCCGCTGTGTGTATGATACATTGTTCTTTAAGTTTTCATGTGCTATTTCGAACACAAGTTTGACATGCACGTCCTCAGTGCAGTCACGCAAGATTGGGTGTCTTCCCTCAGATTTTGTTGCCCAGTTCGCTGGACTCTTACTTCGATACGTACGAGCAGAGGTGTATTCCTTCAAGCTTGTGCTATGGAGTCTCGGTGGTCAACCGAATTTCGATGCAATAGTCTCCGCTGATGAGTGATGACATCCCGCCATTCTGACTCAAGGGACTGACCCAAGGAATCAACTGCGCTTCAGTCAATTGGCTTAGCATTCCGATGCTCGCGCAGATCCGACTCCATGGATGCGGTAGCGCAGCTCGGGGAGCTATCGTTATGTAAAAGTCCAAATTTTACGGCGATATCTAGGCTGGTTATCTCATGGCACAAGCCGAAGGAATGATGCTGTTTGGTGAGTTACATGGTGAATGTCTCAATGTCTCACTGTGTATGAAGATAATGAACGGCGTAGAGAGCAGAGAAATTTGTTGGCGAAGAAACAAATTTACGCTACTTAACGACTGTTTGGGATGTCGATTGTGCCACCCCGCGAGTAGCCGCGCCTTCATTACGCAAGGATACAATGCCATCCATGTTCAGCTGATCATCAGGAGTATGGTAGAGGCTGATGACCTGCACAATCGCGTCCATCTGGGAAAGATGAAAGGTACTTATGAATCGGGAGTCTCGTTGGTGATTTCTACCGTCATTTGTTCATATCTGATCACTATTGTAAGTAGTCGAGGTCAGGTGGGAGAATAGTAGTTGCCTAGAGAGTCGGCCGGGCCCCAAAGAACAGGGCATGCGCCTCGCGGAACAGATGTTCTTCGGAGAGTAGCGAGATTTGCGCGCATTGTACCGAAAGGTGATGCTTTGCCGCCCGGCATGAAGTACTAACTAGGAACACTTAAACCAGGTAAGCGCGAGCTATTCTTCACGAGACTTTGCTCTAACATTGTATCCCTATTCATTAAACTTGATTGAGCATCTGCGCTGTCAGAGATTCCACGCGTGTTTGATGCCTTCGTCTTGAATGCTTATGTACGACGACAGTCCACCGCATAGGTCGCTGTCGAGAGACATGTCGGTCTGTACAGCTCAAGTGCAACATCCACATCTGGCTACACTAACCATGGGCCTTGGCCACCTCAGTATCTTCGATATGCTCACTATGATTCGAAGGTCCCCCTTCCCACCGTATGGACGTATTCTCAACAAGACCAGGGCATTGTTCCCGACGCCGTAGAAGATCATGAAACCTTCTCATCAAGGCAATCACCTTGACAGTTAACCATTTTTTTGCCATGTTCGCCGTTACACAGGAAGGTTTCGGCGATAGAGTAGTAGTCCGTTGGGCACGGGACGTGCGGAGGCACCCCGCGGTTTCTTTTCATTTGAACTATATATGAATCATTTCACTGAATGGATGATTCTATAGGTTGGCCAGGTTACTGGATATTTCCAAGGGCAAACCAGGTGGAAGTAGGGGCGCGTGTTTCTGATTGGCAGATATCTCCGAATTACATTGGGATAAAAGGATAACATGGGACTGCTGTTACTGAGTATTCTCGGTTTCCTTTTTTTTTCATGAAACGTGTACTTCAGTGCCTGTCATTGGCAATCGACCAAGTGCACCCCACGAATACAAACGTTCTTGGTTTCTGAATTAAGGCCTTGTGTCGAATTAAGCCGGAGTGGATTTCAAGACAGGGTCGATACCGACTACCAACTTTACTACAGAAGTATCAAATGACGACTTACCGCCGCAAACTTACTTCCCCGGGAGAACCCTTGTCAATGATCCTGAGAACCACCTATTCTATCCGTTGGACACTATATGTTCACTTCTTTCGCTGCCGGACTAGTAGAGAACACCTCAGCAGACAGGTGAAAATATACGGATCGCAAAGTAATGGCGAACCAGTGCTTGGTATCTTGCTGAGTCTGAAGTCTAGATTTTGCCTACTAAGTATGGAGGATTTACTATCAGAAGGCAAAGAACCGGACCATTTAGCACACTTTTAGCTGGAATGATAGTAGGCGTACCCTCCAGAAGGGCAGAATCAAGTTGGAATCAAGCCATTGATGGATCAAATTAGCTGTTTTAAGCCTCTAGCTAAGATGTTCGAAGTTTGGTCCGCAAGAGTCGGACATTTCGATTTTTATACTCAGAGGACGTGGTGGAATTCAGAAGGCTCTTTGGTCCTCTCTGCCATTCCGATTAATCCTAAGCGAACTTAGGGAAAACCCGATATCGGACCGTAACCGAAGTCACGCGACCGTGGCTGCTAAGTTGACAAGTTTAAGCGCTGCCGCAGTCCGTGGGCCTGTCACCGACTCTAGTATTCTGACTGTAATTGTCCAATTCAAGGCAACTAACATCAGCTTATTCTTTCTTTAACTATTACTGATGAATTCTTAGGTTATTAATGATAAGTCGGTCATGCTTATGACAAGATTGCACTGTTCAAAATCCAGGGTTTTGTCGGTCAAATGCGACCCTTACACGGGACGAACGACCATCGAACTGGGTCCGCTTGTACAAACAAGGACGATAAATGCCTTTCTTCAAGTAATCTGGAATGTTATCATGCCATGCGCCCTAGGAAATACGTTTTCAATTGCCATATCGTTGCGACGCATCTAGCAAGTGATTTAGATGCATTATCTGTCCTTTTGATAGGCACAGTGATGCTCCGTTAGCAATGGCGGAGCTCTAGTCTCAGCTATCCATCCACACGAGTTGGGTTTTCTTTCCCTGTTATCTGATGCTCTCCGGTATCCCCAGTATTCTCCCGCGATGTAATAGTCCAATGACGAAGATCTGAGCGGGAGCCCTTCCGGATCACGGTGGTTAGGGCGATCTGTATGTTCTCCTAGATCTACTCCCACGAACTTGAGTTCGTGCGATTTCGCGTAGATAACACGTCCTTGAGATATCGAAATTACGACTTAACGTCCATGGATCCGTTCTGGAGTTGCGCGTATCTTTGTCCGATGCCTGCCGCGCATGCTGAGGATGCAAGGTGTTAAAGAGCAAAGGCTGTGCAATAGTCCCGTTTTGCGCAAGTTCCAGAAAAAAGGCTTTTGTTTCCATCGCATAATTGTCACACTCACACTTATATTCTAGTGTCCGTCTCCAAGTTTCCATTGTCAATATGCCTATTCGTTCGATCTCGAGGGAAGTAGTCGATACCATTCTCGAGGCACTTGACTCGAATATAGATCGTGAATCTATACGAGCACTCTCACGGGTTTCGAGATCCTTTCGTCCGCACTGCCTACGAATTCTCTTTTCCATACTTTCTTTTCATCCGCCGAGTTCACCCCACTCCCCGAACGCATGTCGAGCCTTCCACAATCTCGTCGAATCGACACCTCATATTCCACCACTTGTACGGACGCTCAATATATGTGAGGGTCTCTGGGATCATTTGTGGATCCCCACGGAGCCGACATTTCCAGGCGTGATGCGGGCCCTTGTTAATGTTACAGACATTAGCATGGTCTTCGTCATATTTTCCTCTCTTCCAGATACCAGTCGCTCAGCCATTACGAGCAAGAAGTTTACCAGAATTCATTTGGATTCTGTACGCTTCGGGTCCGATGACGAGTTTCGGGCGCTGCTGAGGTATTCTTCAGATTCGTTGGAAGTCTTGGATTTAGGGAATATTACCTTTGAATCCAGTACGCGGTCATCGGATGGGTCAACTAGGGATCAGCCTGCTGAAGAGTGTCGTTTGAGCATGTTGATGCTTGACGTACAGTCCGAGGGTGACGCTGAGGTGCTGAATATATTGTTTGGTTCTCGTCCCCCCATTCGAATGGATATGGTCGAAAGACTCTGGCTGAATGAAGTTTGCGTCTCTTCGGATGCAGTAGTGGAGGGGTTGGATAAACTTTGGAACTGCTTGGTCATATCTGACGGCGGTATGCTTGGATCGATTTCGGTTGGGGATTGTCACGGTCTCGGTATGCTTCCTTGCTTCTGGCATTGTAACTGTTTGCTAACATCTCTACAGAGGAAGCCTTGAGATCCGTGCCCCTCAACGGCGTATCTGAGATTTCATTCCTTGTAACTACAACTGGATCCGCCAGGTTTTCACCATCACTACAGTGGTGGTCAAACAATTTCAGCCGCGCCGCTGTAGCCTCAGAAGGCTGGGAACCAGTTGAGATCTCCATCACCCTTCAGTTGGAGACAGGTTCTAGCGTGCCATTAGCTTCGTTGTTCGACAACGAGTCTATTGACGCGTGGGCACACATCGACTCGTCTCTTTGTGGAGTGGGCGTGACTGGCACTCCTGCGGTAGAAGTCAGGATCGCTCTTGATGCGGACCATGAAAATATGTCCGACTTCCTTTTCATGCAGTCTTGGGTACGAAGGCAGCTGCCGATGTTACATCATGGCCGGTCTTTGCAGGTACGGGAGGCCTCGGGGAATTTATGAATATACGGTACTTATAGACACACGGTAAATGGGTTTGTGTCATACGTACTTTATCAAATACTCTACTCTCCTTAACTTTAATAAGGTGCTGATCAAACAGACACACCAGGGACCATAAAGTCGCCATATTTGGATCTCTTACTCGTTGGGTGACTCGCGTCCAATGTAATACGTTCCCCCCACTGAATCTGCTATCATTCCTTAGATAATCTGCTGGCTACTTAGGATTTATTGATCTGGTGTCAAAATTCGCGCTAGCGAGTTGAGCGTAACTTCGGCCGAAGGGATGAATAAGACCCGACGGTTAGACCATTTCAAATCTAGGACTCTCGGAAGTCGGGCCGATACATAAATGTCTGATTATATAATGTCCATAAATTATTTCCAGAAATAATTCGTGGGTTCTGCTTGACAAATCTCCTTTCAATCCTCGACGACCGCCGTCGCAATATACGTGTTGTATAGCCCGGCGAGTTCCAGAGTATATTCGCACAATATTTCTTCTTGCTCTGACCGCTGTTTTCAATAGCTGAAAGGCGTTCAGCTGCAAGGGAAAAGACCACGAGAAGAATCTCATCCTCAGACTTTGCGACCTTTTGGGAAGATACCGAGAGACCTTGCTACATTGCTCAGCGCGTAAAGGTATGTGTTTAGCGCTGGTGTTCTATATATTTCTATTAATGCTGGATAGGCACAGGACTGGAAAGCTTGTGACCGACCCTTCGAAGCGAGTTCGGGAAAGGATTTTACCTGTTTTTCTTTTCGACCACGGCTACGGCGGTACTTTGTAATTACAAGCAGAGTGACCGGATATCTTTCGGTCCCATTTTGCTGATATTACCGTGGCAACGTACGGCGGTGCGTATTTCGTGATTTCATGCTGTAGGCGCTGCTGAGTGCTTAATAGACAGAGAATACATCTCGTTGGTTTGTTGGAATCCGTCACCTTTTGTCCGAGATACCTGACGTGGAGTAACACCACAGGTCCGTTACGTGGCGTAATTGCCATTGACTAGAGTCCCACTTTCTTCACACAGAATCTGTACGTGCTCTTCATTCTCATGAACCGAGTATTTAAACTCTCCTGCTCAGTATAGTATGCCCGCAAAATACTCTCATATCAAAAAGCGCACTCCCATTCCCAAGAAGACCGGAAAGGGCTCCAACAATGGCGGTAATGGCCCCAAGCAAGTACTCAAGCACCGACATCCGTACCGTCCCAATCCCAACGCTGACCGCAGCATAACGCAGGCTATGTCAGCTGTCACTCAGCTTGAACGCGCCATTTCCCGCATCCTGCTCCTCCGTTATGAACAGGACATCGCGCGCCTGTTCTCGACACGTCTTCATGATATCGCTCTTGTGCATCTGCCCACCTTTGTGATGCGTTGCGTGACATTGGGTGGTCCAAGTTGGGCGGCACATAATGCGGACTGTGAAGAAATTAAGGATTTTTTCCGAGCCGCGATCAGCATGGACATGCGTCAAGCTGGTGAAAGGGTTGCAACGAAGAGTGTTTTGTGGAGTTATACGGCGTTGAGACATTTCGTACGCATCGGAGTCTTGTTTTTGCGATACCGACTGACGTACTTTCCTTTCAGGCTATGTCAAACAATGTTGCTATATGTCAGAAACGCGGTCTACATTCGATGAAGCTGCTGCCGCATTATCCGTCTCTGAAGACGCATTTGGATGTGTTGGAGGCGATGCCGCCACCTGTTATGTCTAAACCACCTCATCTAGGGTCTCTCAAGGAGGGAATAGAAGCCCTGGAGGAGGCATGCGAGCACAAATATGCTAGATGGAGCGAGGTGCCGCTAGAGTGGCAGCATGATTGGCGACCCAAGGTGCGATTGGGGTATGAGAAGGTCACCCAGATGCTTTGGCGAGTAGCGCGGGAGTATGATGTACGAGGGTACGGCCAAGTATTGAGGGAGAAGCTGTCCACAAAGTGGTGTGATTGTGGGTGCTCGACGGATCATCTAGGCGAAGTGTGCGAGAAGACTGTGAGGGAGGACGAGGAGGAAAGCGGGGTGCGTTCGGGGAAGCAGAGGGAGTGGGATGGAAGAGGGAGCGGTGTATTTGGTTGGGAGACCGAAGATGAGGAGGATATATGGGAGCTGGAGCTAGATTTCAGTGGCATGGACCCAGAGGACTTAGATGAGGATATCGATCCCAGTATGACTATTGGAGAGATTATGGAGTGGCGGTTCCTCAAAGCTGAGCGAGAGAAGGAGCAGGTGGGTGCACAGGCCATGTCACCAAGTCATAGCTCATGTTCTTCTTACAAGGGTAACACTGCTTTCCGGAGGGGACTATTTGATACAGCGATTACACACTATCAAGTGGCACATAAAATTGAGCCTGAGCTGCCGCATTACCAACTGAATTTAGCTGCCGCGTATCTGAAGCTCAACAAGTACGATTCTGCATGTTTGGTGTCTTTCATAACTGCTCAATCGTCGTTGAATTTAGCTGGATAGAGGCAGAAAAGGCATGCACGAAGGCATTAAGCCAGCACCGTAGCGGAAAGGGATACTTCCGTCGCGCGCGTGCTCGAAGAATGCTCGGGAAAATAGACGACGCTATCAGAGGTGTCTTTGGTGCCCGCTTATCCATGCCGTTTCTGACATCTTCCAGATTTGCGCGCCATACTCAAATTCCAACCGTCAAATAATGACGCCATAACAGAACTACTCGACCTATTACCGCCTGACACCAATGCTCCCAACCCGTCATCCTCTTCGGCAGACCAGCAATACCTCGAGCACCTGCACGAACACCTTGGAATCGCCAAACCCAAATCAATAAAACCCCCGCCCTTTCCTCGTGTCCCAGGCGACAGCCAGAAGCTGAAGATTGTGATACTGCCTACGAATGATGTACCAATATGGGAGCATCATCATGAGGTTACGGAGAAAGGCAAGCAGAAATTGACGATGACGATGAAGACTAATTTGACGCCGAGGGAGGCGGAGATGCAGAAGCTGAGGAGGGAGAATATGGCGTATCCAGGTTGGGATAGGTATGTGGTGAAGAAGGCCTGAGAAGGGTCATTATTTGCTATTTATATATCTACAGTGGATCCCCCCACGTTCATTTAAACATGCCTAGCAATCATCGTTGCAAATACTGTATGTCTATTCTAGTCAATAAGAGTATCCAATAAGCGGAATATTGCATAAAAATTGCACAATATTCATGGGTAAAGTTGAGACACCCCAATATAGTCAGATCGTAACACAAATCACAGATTTGTACCAAGTCAGCGCATCCGTACCTCCTGCCACGAAACTCGACATAAATGTCCTTAAGTAGTAAATGAAGGCTTCTGAAAAAGGATTGCCCCCCCGCATGAGAATTGCGGACAAATTTATTGTTTGACTCAAGGAAAGGGGATCCGCTGTATAAGTCGATTTACGCTAGCCGTTCATGCGGGAAGGACATAATTACCTTGCTTGTCAAGGTCTTTTCTTTTGGGACGACCAGCCCTTCTGCCAGTTTTCCTCCATCTACTAAACACTAGCTTCGAAACATTGGCAATAACTCGTTGCGCCAGCACTGTGTTTTGGTTAACATAATATGGTGTTCGAACTCGGCCGATCTCGTCAAGTTGCTGCACAAAATAGTGCCTTCTACGACCTACTATTTTTCGAAACCTCCTTCTACTTCTGACGATAGTATCAGGGTTTAAGTTATTGACAGGTCCACATTGGTCTTAGTGTGACTCTAGACATGGTTATACATTGGTACAAGAAGCGACAAAAGTGCCATAAAGGACAACTTCAAGGTGGGATGAGTCATTGAATAGCATTGGGTGAGTTAGGGTGACGAACTGTGAGGAGAGCGAATGAGAATTGTGGAATGTGAGATATATAGTAAAGGGATACAACCGAACCTGAAGAGATTAAGAGGAGAGAATTCGATCCAAAGCAAAGTTGTGAAAAAAGTCAAGCCACTGGAAAATGCCGGTTGAACGATCGAGCGGGCCGCTGCTGCCGCAAGTTGATTCTTGAACTTTGCTTTGCTTCAGTCTCTCTTTGTTCTTTCTTCCTACAATTACTGTTTTTTTTTTCATAGAACGCCACTATTTCCTTTGTTGTCTCCCCTCTAGGACACCTTTAAACGTGAGTGGCACAGTGCAATTTCTTCATTTGGGACCAGCCTCGCTTCACACTGAAATCCAATATATAATGGATGAATTGGAGGTCCTCTTCTCTCATCACCTTCTCCCTAATTTCTGCTCTCTTCTCACTTTTTTTCCTAATGTCAGACTCTACCCGTGACGGTGCTCGAACTCCTCCCAACCAACCTGCCGTTGCTCCCAACGCCGACCCCCCCCCGTCAGTTGGACACACTCCGATTAAAAAGAAAGCTGCTGGTCACGGACCGTTTGCTGTCAAAAACCCCACGATGATAGACAGGCGTCTTGAGCTCGCTGAAGGGACGCGTGGCATGGCCCAGGGCCCGATGCCAGCCCGCGACTTTATGAACGAGTTCTTGCCGTGGAACGAAACCACTCCGATGCAATTCAGAAAGCTCCAGCCCAGCAAAGAACGACTGAATAAATTGACGGACATGGCTACCGCTTCCGAAGCCAAAACCTACGAATTATTTGTATGTTCTTCAAGGTAGCCCATGCTACAATTGTCTAATATTTGCTACAGCTCGAAGCTTTCTCCGGCTGGCCTTTTGATCTCAAACCTGAAGACCGACGTCCAAGATATGCACACTGTGTTCTTCAGTGGAATGACAGCCATGCCACCCCGGATAAGTTCTGTGATTCGCTCTCTGTGGACGTCAACGCCGTCGATGTCAGTCGGCCGACTATCAGGCGGTGCGACGCGCGCAAGCTCGATTTCGCTAACGTCGAGACTCACACCGAAATGAAGCCCAAGGTGTGGGATGATCCTTACTGTGACGGAGATGCTGTATCGGACGGCGAAGAAGACGACAATGAAGACATTGAACAATACGAGGGGAATGATGCCTCGGCTGATAAAGTGGAGGATGAGGACAATGGTGCCCAAGCTGACGAATGCGAAGAAGACTATCTGCCTGAAGATCTGGGAGAACTTGACGTTGCAAATGACGAAGATCCCAAGAAAGGTATGGCTGG